AGACTTTGGATGAATATCAAAATGTATTGGAATTAAATTAATATTTATATTTGATTTTTAAATTTTAGTAACCATGAAAGTGTGAATGTGTTTAATGACTAGCTTGTTTAAAGATACTTTTAAAGTTTGCAGTAAATAAAAAAGAATAGTTCACACAGTTTACACATAAGTCGATTTCGATCAGTTACCTTTTTCATAAAAGATTTTGAAATAACTGCGTTATTATTAAAGCTGCGTTCCATTCGTGTTGTGAATAAACAGGAGCTGTAATCCTTAATATTTTCCAACATAAATAAAATTGAAGTAATAGATTGATAGAATATAAAGCAATGGCTAAGTTTGTTTATTCGTTATATTAAAATATTTTTTACACTGCAAATTTTATAACAATAGTAAAAATATATAAGATAAACTTGAGTCAAACATAATATGTCATAATATTCATAATAAATATCCATTATATTAAGTTGACAGTAAATTTAATGTTTTTGAGAAGCAATAAAAAATATAAATGTTTTTAAAGACAGCGAGGATTCATCATGCTTCAATATTATAAATCGGTATTGTCAGTACGAGTATGAATCGTATAACAAATTGTCAACCACTTCAATGTTTATTATTGATGTTATTGATTCTTCTTAATGAACACGAATGAAAAACCTAAACACCTTCATTGTTTAATTTACAATGTAAAATTATATTAAGCTAGCTTTTGTACATTAGTTCTACCATAACAAATACTTCTACTTATAGTATGTATTATTTCTTGTATTATATTTATTTTTAATGTCAAAAACGGCAACCCGTAGAGTAATTACAATTTTAATATAAAATTAGTTTTGTTTAGTATATAATATTTATGATATTAGAGTTATATAATCTATTATGGTCTAGCAACATATTGTTGGCACCCAAAAGATGATATGGAGAGTCAGTGGTGATGCATTTTCTTTTACTTTCTTCTAGGTAATAGTTCCCTTACCACAGCAGAATCGCCTCGCGGCCCCTTGGCTTAACAGAAGAGCGGTTCGTTGGGCATCGGTGGGGTTTTAGTCCGTAGTGCTTCCTTTTTAGGACGATAATCCGACATAACTCTCCTAGCTTTTCTTTCTTAGCAAGAGAGTATACAATAAGCATTTCTCCACACAAAAAAAGGTTATAGTTTCCTTGATCCTATATGATTGCTGACTCAGACTTTACAGACTTTAGGACGTAAAATGTTTTGTTTTATAGTATTAAGATATCTATCTTAAGCTAACGGAGACGTTTACATATTTTGCGAACGGATTTATCTTTTTTAATTAATAAAAATATAAAAATTTTAATGTTCCTGCTATTTATTTCTAAACTTCTATGGGTTATATTTTTCTTGGATTGATCAACATTCTAAATACTAATTAGGAACGCTGTAAATCTATGTAATTTGAAGAAAATGCAAAACATTATCTTGATAAAGAAAGCTTTTATTCGTCTAAGATGGAAAACAATATTTCCACGTGCCCAAATGACTAAATAATAGAGGAACTTAAACAATTTAATAGAGTTCCCCACATCCCCCGACCAAAAATTATCCTAAATGATCATTATAAACCGCTTAAGAACACAAATCCTCCTTTAAATTTATCTGATATAAAATGAGCCAAAAAAATAATAACTGATTGTGTTATGACATTTTATCTTATCTCAATAATCCCTTGGGAAGCAAGTCGATTAATTATTAAAAATATTTATATCTCGCAAGCATATATTAATTTACCTACAAACATTTTCAACCACGTTTTATTATTTAAATTGAAATAAAAAAAAAAATCAAAAATTTGGTAAGTACATACCTACAAAACTTTTAATAGAATAAAAAAACAGGCTTATAAATTCATTATAGTTTTTTTTGTTTCCACCCAAACCGAGGTTAATGATGTAAGTTGTAGATGAAAAAAAAAATCTGGTTGTTACTTTTTCTTGAAAATATCGTCCATATAATCTTAATATGATTGCTTATTTAGATTTTATACAAGAATTTAAAAAAATTGTGCTTGGAGTCCTTCCGTAATGTTGGAATGTTAACAGCAAGGCGTAGAAACTAATTTTTGAGGATTTCTTTTGTGTTTTTTTAAGACAAGCTTTATTAAAATTACTTAAAGTCCAATCTGATTGCTCGCATGCATCTTAGCGTCACAAATTCCGCGTCTATTTATACCTACTTCTGAGAGAGAACGGAGAGATTTTCACGATGTAATTCACCAATTCGTTTTTATCATCAGACATCTAGAGGGTTTGCATTTTTTCGTTGTAGGCTTTCCTAGCATTCTAACAAAGCTATACACTTCTTCCATAAGCGCACAGCAAGGTTTACCACAGTTTGCCTGCATCTTAAAATTTAAATCTCTCTAAGACTAGTGTAAAAAGGCTCTTACTAAGATAACTCGGTTAAAATTTACTACTTCATTTCTAAATAATAACCTCAGGGGGAAAAACAAAAGAGAATCCACTATAATACCTAAGCATAATCCTAGTCGAGATTTATTTATGACTGAATGAATAGTATTAACGCATTAAAAAGCGTTATCCAATTATTATTTTATCAAGTTCAATAGTTATGAAACATGCAATATCATTAATTAATCTATGCACTACTACTAAGCCGAGTTGCAGTCGGTAAGAAAAAGTGTATTTTCCACTTTAAAATATTTATGGAAAGGATTTTGTGGAGGTATTCTTAATAACTAAACTTTCTATCGGCAATTGGTTGGTCAGAAGTGAGTAAAGATTGCCTACGAATTGGGAAGTTATATAGTAATGAATACACATTTGTATTATTTCTAACATTACCGGGTAATTCTTACCCTTACCCGTCCAAATAAAATTACAATAATCAGAAAAATAAAAAAGTAGAAACGAGGAGAAATAAGTAGTACAAAAAAATCAATGTCAATAATACATTAATTATAAAATTTAATTACATTAATTATTATTATCTTATTAAAAAAGATAAACCTGAACAAAATAAATTTGGGTTCTTTATTTCATAATATAAATTTCAGTATTTATGTAACACTTGTATAAATATAAAAATCCTACTGTAAAGAATTTATTTTATTTTTTAATATAATTTGTAGTCAATTTTAAGACATTTTTAGTTGGATGAAACTTATGTTTTTGCTGTAAAGCTACCGATATATAATTGTGGTTCAATTTCGATGTGTAGTCGTGAAAGTGTAAGAGATCATAAAGAATTCAAATTTACAAAATATATTTTTCTATATCTGTGGGAATGCAGTTAGAACTGCTAGGAATTTGCTTGTGGGATGTAGGTACTCCTGGATAGAGGTTAATACTCGCGTCGTCACGATAAGGTACTGGAAATCATACGTGAAGCGGTTAGTTTATCGGAAACCAGAGGGCAAAGGGAAAAAACGACCAATCGATTTTGTGAGAGAAGTCACTAGAGCTATAAAATCAAACGTCAAGCCTTACTCTACCTTTTAACGTGGCTTCTGATTAAACTATCATGATGAATACGTATGAGAATTGAGAAGCAATATAAAATTCCAGAAGATATTTGTGCGTCTAGGCCCAGACATATTTTTATATTCGCGAATTTTAAAGAGCTTTGTACAAATAGAACTCATGGTTCCTTGGAAAACCAACATTCCTAAATATCATGCAATTAAAGTCAAAAAAATATTACGAGGTCACGAACGAACTCATTAGGAATAAATTCGGCATAGATTTGTACGTGATAGAAGTGGGAGCGAGAACTATAGCGGCTAAATCTCAAAAGCGAGAACTATAGCGGCTAAATCAAAACTATAACATTAATTCGTTCTTGGAACGTTCTTCGAAAGCAACAATAGCTCTTTTCAAATTTAGTTAGTTAGGGAGAGGAGCTTGGACGGTGGACTTAAGCGTGCTCTAGATAGGGGACCCTTAAATCTACACCTCGGTCGCAAGTTTATGCACTGTTTAGGCTCTTCTCCCTGAAACGTTATGGACTCGGCACTAGAACGATGAATCCATTGCATGCTAAGAAGTTTCGTCTTCGTCTCTTCAATGGAAAAATCTTCCAGACGACGTCTCCAATCATACCTTGAAATAAAAAATATGTAGTTCCAAAACTTTGACAGAATCACCTGGAGTAGCATTTAGACAATTTTTTTTATTTTAATTTGTATTTGTGCTGCAACTTTTGTTACATAACTCAATACTATTGCACATCACAGATAAAAAAAAACTTTACGAGAAAACACATGAACATATTTCAAATGATATTATATGTAGGTAGGTAGGTACTCTCATCTCTTAAGCAATCTTTTATATAAGAAAACTAAACATAGCAAGATAATAAGTCAATTATAAAATATATTTAAATGTTGAATTACATATTTTAGTCATTTTCATGTTATAAATTTATATTTAATTACTTTTGTAAACATGGTGTGCAAAAACTTTTATTTTTTCTATTCGTATATAAATACTGATGATTCAATAAAAGCACATACAAATAATTGTTTATCAAAATCCCAAATATTTGTATTTTAAAAATTAAAGTTAGCTTCACAATGTTAGTTTGTTTACTTATTTTACACACTGACTTATATTTATATCCCTTTGCTACATAAATAGAACTATTTTTTCATTCCTAGTTCAATGATTCATCTGTACTTATTCTCCTTTATTTTTGAGCTTACCGACTTATCGAATTCATATAATTTAAAATAAAATAAAATAATTTAATAAAATATAATGTTAATAATAGTTTGTGTTTTTCCCGTTTTACGGCTTATATTCTTTTTGAAGTCTGTCACTGTCAAAAGTGTCAAATTGATAACCTGGTGTGATGTTTTCAATTTGAGATGGGGCATTGACATTTCTAAACCATAAATCCTAAGTGATTCGTCGCTTTTGCAATTTATATTGGAAAGTGCCGGTATAAGGAGAATACGTAATTTAAGTAATTTTTCGTAATTCTATAGATATAGAAAATAGCAACAGCCTAGAAAATGTCTCATTTTAAACTAATATCGTCAACAAAGGCTTCCGACGTGATACCTGTAAACAAATATGTGTCCGAAAAGACTGGCTTAACCGTAATTATAGCAAACGTTGAAGGACCGGTTGTAAAAGGATTTTTTTGCTTAGGTGAGTAAATTTTTGCCCTTCATTCTGTTACTTTCGTCCTGAGGTCACTCAAATTATATATTTTGAATTTCATTATGAATATTGCCAAATGTAGCAACGGAAGCTCACGATGATGATGGTTTGCCTCATACTTTGGAACACTTGATCTTTTTGGGATCAGAGCGTTACCCTTACAAGGGTATTCTTGATCTTTTGGCGAACCGATGTATGGCTCACGGAACGAACGCGTGGACGGATGTGGACCACACTTGTTATACTATATACACTGCGGGAGATGCGGGTATGTTGACGCTGTTACCTATCTACCTGGACCATATACTGAGACCAACTCTTACGGAACAAGGATTTCTGACTGAGGTTCATCATGTTGATGGCGATGGAGATGATGCTGGTGTTGTGTACTGTGAGATGCAGGGTAGGGAGAATACAGCTGATAGTAAGTGAGTACAGAATGCTTAACTTTAATCACTTTTAATTAATATAAATTAGGTTTATTTTAAATGACATTGATTTATTTTAGATGTGAGTTAAGGATGCTCCGAGCTATGTATCCCAATAATGGATATTCATCTGAAACCGGAGGTATCATGAAAAACCTGAGGGAGTCCACTGATAACACAAAAGTATGCAAATTATTAACAGAAAATTCTTATAATAGTTGTTTACAAAAAAATTAAAACTAAATATAATTAAACATCACAATATATTACATTTTTAGAAATGATTTTCATTTGTTTTTTTTGTTATCTATTTAGGTGAGAGATTTCCACAAGAAATTCTATAGAGCAGAAAACCTTACAATCATTCTAACAGGACAAATTGAAGCCCAAGATGTTTTCAATGTTCTCACTACAGTTGAGGATGACATCATTGCTAAGGTAATTCAGATAAAAATAAAACAAATCACACACAGCTTATAATCTAGACTTTACATTATTGTCCCTCAAGGTCATCATGTTATTTTATGCACCTTCAGTTATTAGTAGTAGCAATAGATGCAATGATATGTTTTAAATTGAAATCTTTTTGTTTTTTCTTTTGCATACTACATATATAATTTTTAAAATAATATAAATAATTCAATGTTATTGTTCTACTTTGTTTATTAATTATAAATTAAAATACAATAATAGTATAAAATATATTCAGCGGGAGAAGGAATCTCAAGAAGAGTGGGTGAAACCCTGGCAGACGATACCCCCACCACCAGTGTATGGAGAACTTGTAGAGAAGTGGCCAGCAGATACTGAAGACTGTGGTCAGGTAAAAAATTATTAAAATTTTTGTAGTTAATGGAAGGCTCGAGCTAGGCCGCTGTGGTCAAATTACCACAGCTTGAATATGAGCGAGCTCCACCGAGAAAGTACCACACTCTCATAGTATATTGACATGAAGTAGTCTTATATGGCTGCGTTTCGTCCGATGAGTGAAAGAACCAGTTGCCCTCTCCCTTTTCCTACCCTGTCCTCTTTTCCTTTTTTCTTTCCTCTTCCTTTGACGTATTGTTTATTTTTTGTTTATTACCAATTCTCTGTTTGAATAATATATTGTGTAGTTAATCATTTATCAATAATTACAATAAATTGTCAATTCTGTTTTTCATGAAATTTGTAAATATATATTTTGTATATAATAATTTGTTGAGAAAATATTTCAATAAATTAGTCAGCTAACTGTTTGGCTGATAAGATAGTTTAAGGCTGTTAATGATTTCCAGGTATTGTTCGGTTGGCGTGGTCCTCTGTTGACTCAGGCCGGTGCGTTGCACGAGTTGACTGCTTGTGCGGTGTTGCTGCGGTATCTATGCGACACGGCTGCGGCGCCGCTACAACGAGCACTCGTCGAGAGAGAGGACGCCTTGGCTGGAGATGTTAGTATTACAAAGAAATTACAGTAATATTAGTCCTATTAGATATGTGTAGCCATTAACAAACTGTGAATTTATTAGCCATCATTGATTTAGGGTGTCTAAACAGTTCCAGTGGTATTAATTATAAAATCCTAGATTATCTTCTTCTTCTACCTGGCAAATTCCCAGCTATAGCCAAGGTCTGACCTACATGTTGTGAATAGTTTTTGCTAATTGTTTTTATGACCTGCCTGACATCAACCCTCTTTGGGAATCAGCATATAACAGTGATGTCTAAATACTCTTAGAAAGTACATATGACTCGGAAAAATCACATTGTACTTGCCAGGGGCAGGATCGGGCCCGCGCCTTCATGCATGAGAGGCGGGCCCTTTAACCACTACGCCACCACTGACAAAATCCTAGATTATCATGTATATTTTTCACGATAAATAAATAGCCTTTTTAATTAAAATTTGTTCATTTCAGGTATCATACAATCTCACAGAAAATATGGCGTCATTGATTAAGATAGAGCTTGATAATGTACCAGTTGATAAATTGACTCAAGCTAAAGAGGAGGCGCTAAAGAGTTTGAGAAGCGTCAGGTCTGGTGAGGAGGCTATCGATATGGACCGCATGAAGAGATTACTGAGGAAACAGTTGAGGGAATGTATGGCCAGCCTTGAATCTGAACCACATCATGCTGTGGCTTTTAGATGTATCGGAGATGCACTTTATTCCCAAAACGAAGATGACGTGAGTGATATTCTAGCTAGTTTTTATTTTGTGCTGTATATAATTTAATTTATAATTTATATCAACAGTTTATAAAACGGATGAATCCACAACAAACTATGCATGATCTACTGAAAGAAAGCAGTGAATTCTGGGTTGATTTGTTGAATAAATACTTCAATGATGATATTGTGGTCATCGTTGGATCACCCAGCATTGAGTTGCAAGCCAAGTAAGATACCATAAAATTATAGAAAAGGTATTATTATTATATTACGAAACCAAGAAAAAATAATAAATATTTTGCAGAATGGCAGAAGAAGAGAAAAAGCGAATCGAGGAACAGCAAGCTCGTCTTGGTGAAAGTGGTTTAGCGGAAAAAGCTAAACAACTTGAAGAGGCCATGGAGTTCAATGATGTGAGATTTTATATTTTGGTCTATAATTATTTGCCTATTTCAATTTTCATCCACAATAGTTACAAAATTTTCTTATTTGCCTGATGTAGTATATGTATTTCATTTTAATACATAATCATATGCATTTCATTTTAAAAATATATTATTGAAAATGTTGAGAAGACTCCTTATAAAAATCTTCATGGTTAGGGAATGTCTAGGACTAATGATGACTAGTTTTTAACTTGAATTCTAAATGAGATTACGTTTAATAAACAAATTAACAAGTAAACATGAAAATCGGAATACATATATAATTTTAAAACATATATCTGAGTGTATTACAGTGCAAAATGTAGTCTTTCACATGACAAAGTTAAGCAAGTGATTATTTTAACATGATATTAATGATCATATTGTATTATTTCCAGCGCCCGCCTCCCCCCGGCACCCTCGCGTCTGTTCCTGTTCCGTCCTGTGACTTCAAGTGTCATTCCATCAGGTCATGGAGCTCCGGAGAAGACTGTCCATACTTCGACCTCACACAAATACCGCTGTTCACCAGACTGCACAGCCTAACAACTAATTTTGTATATGTTAGTACTATGTAGAAAATATTAATGTGATATGGGATAGATTCAAATGTTAGCAATGATATTACTATCACTCAATAGTCAATACAGATTGAGACGAACATCATGTATAATTGTTTTTTTTAATAATCATACGTAACAATTTTTACTTTTTCTTCCACATATATCATAAACTTTCTTTTAAAAAATATAGCCTAGTACTATTTTAAATATAAAACTTTGGTGTCATATTTGTATGATTATTATATAAAAACTACTGAGCGATTGTCATGCACTGGTCAGTAATGTAATAAAGCGTATTTTTAAGGTTACCTAATGATTAAATCTAAATGAATCAGTTAATATAATATGCTTATTTCAGATCCACTTAATTCTGGATACTACCAACGTGGATCAAAACACCCGTAAGTGGCTCCCTCTACACATGAACGCCTTGGGAGAGTGCGGCGTGTGGCGCGGGGACACCTTGATACCCCATCAAGACGTTATATCGACAACGGAACAACTCACTGTGTCCTTCCAGAAAGATATTGGCTTTGGCAGAAGCGGCAACTTCTCTGTGGGACAGTTCGGAAACTTTATCAATATTGACGTTAGGGTAGGTCGTGTTTAATATCCTCGCTTATACCCGCGCCTAAGGAAGTGATTTATTATATATTCTTTATTTGTAGTGTGAACCGGCAGATTACGAAGAAGTTGTAAACCATCTCTATGAAGTCTTGTACTGTGCTGAAATTACTAAGGAGAGATTATTAGTGTTCGCCCAGAGACTGATTAATGAAGTTTCACAGGTAATACATTAATTAAATGCCCACAATATTCATTTCTTTAGTAACTAATTTTCATTCTTATTATATTTCATTACAGACGAGAAGAAACGGTCACAAGATGGTTCACGATTTACTGAGAGATTCTTTATACAGTAAAGACAGTAATGTCCACTGGTGCACGGTGTTAAGACAACAGAAGTTCCTGAAAGAACTCATGGAGCAGCTGAACGCGGGCGGGGACTCGGCAGACGCCGCCATTAGTGACGCTAAAAAGACGTTCAAATACATCACAGAGAACGCCTGGCTACACCTGGCATGTGACTTTGATAGATACAAGCTGAGCGCTGCACCATGGAAGAGATTTGCTAGGGAAAATGAAATTGTACCGGCGGAGTAAGTTATTTTACAATATATTATAGGCTTTTATCTAACTTGCAGTGTACGTATTTATTTCAATTGCTGGAGTGAAATCTTACAACTCAATTTTGAAGCATATCTGCAAAAACATTTTACTCAAAACGTGGACACCAGTTCTGCGTGGAGGGCACCTCATGATTACATTTAGTACGTCATTCTTAATCCAAGATTATATCACCATCTTATATTTTAGATTAATATCCTATATACAATATCCTATATAATATAACTACATAGACCCTTTTGGAGACTCATCAAACAAGTTTCACAAAAAATATTATTATTGTCATCCAATTAATTTATTTTGTTTGGATTAGTATGTTTTTGTTTTACTATTATTGTTAATCCTTGTCATTTTTAACCTTAATTTACTAACAATTAATTATTTGTAAGCTTCCAACTTTATCTTTGCAAGTAGAATTCACCTTAATAGGTAATGCATTTAGTTTTAAGTTGTATAAAAACTGTATACCTTGTACGTATTGATGTATTTACCACTGGTGAATCTTAAATAAATAAATACATTTACCCTTTTATTTTGTAGGTATGTGTCTATGTGTGTTCGAGCATCATCTCATGAACAGTTCAATCCGATGGACGATCAAACACACACAGTGACTTCCAATATAACACATATTAATATAATAAATAAAGTAATCAAATTCAAGTCATTCACTTCTTAATAAGACCGTTCTATATTCTAGACCTCGTCGCTACTTGGACAGCGAGCTGGTGGGTGAGTGTCGTGTGAAGGCGGTGGTTGGTGTTGGAGGCCTTGAGTCATCGTTCGCGGCGCAGGCCAGCCCCGGACCCGTCGGCTTCGATATCAAAAACAACGCCCCGCTGGCTGTAGCACTTAACTACTTCACACAACTAGAGGTATATCAATATTATATACTAGCTGCGCCCCGCGGTGTTACCCGTTGATTTCCGGGATGTAAAGCAGCCTATGTGTTATTCCTGGACGTCAGTTTCCTGTATACAAAATTTTATCAAAATCTGTTCAGCCGTTTGAGCGTGAAGAAGTACCAAACATACACACACAAACTTTCGTAATCATAATATTAGTAGGATTAGAAACTCTTTAATACACAAGGTTTCACTCAGGCGGTGAAATCAGATGGCTTGCTCGTTTTCTGTACAATCACTGTCATAGACATGTCCATATTTATAATTAGACAACAATTCGAATTCGATTGGCAAAAATGCTGTTGAGTTATAAAGACGAATGAAGAAGTTCCAAAGATGTCCACAGGAAATTGGACACAATATAGTACCCATCAACTGTGCAGAAAAACGTGCGCAGACTTGTATTTGAAGCTATCCTGATTTATCAACTGTTTAACTATATTAGGGACCATGTACATAATACACAATATCTAAACTATTCTCTTACTATAAATATTAATTGTTTTATTATATACGTGTCTTAATATATTTTTATTTGTCAGGGTCCGATGTGGCGTCTGATCCGTGGCGGAGGTCTCTCGTACGGGTACAGTATGTGCGAAGCGTCCGCTGAAGGAAGAATATTCTTCTCATTGTATCGCGCCACTAACGCGGTCGCTGCTTACACGAAGGCCAAATCTATTGTTGTAAGCTTTGAACATGGTGTAATTTGTTATATTTGCAATAATCATTATTTAATGAATTTTCGATATATAAGCACTCTTTTACCGTGTTTAATCCAGGAAGAGTATTTGTCTGATGGTAAATTTGATGAGGACTTGTTCGCGTCAGCTAAGAGTGCGATGGTTTTCGAGACGGTGGAGGCGGAGAAGTGTCCCGCTGACGTCGTGAAGCAGTCGCTCCTCAACTACATGAGACAAGTCGGTGATGATTTCAACAGGTGAGCATAATATAAGGATTATATACCTTATACGACGAACTTAGAGTTAAGAATATTTAAATAAATATGTACTTTATATTAATTTTTGAGATTATTATATTAACCAAAATCACTTATAGCTTTTTATATTAATAATTTAACCAAAGCATGTTAATGTTATGTTCTTTTTTTTAGTTCATAAATATAGTAATATATCAAATTTGTTGCAAATTAATTTTACAATAAATTTTCTGAATAGTATGGCTGATGCATAATAATTATAGATGGCTTGTTTGCCAACTTATTGGAAATTAAAAAAACTTATCAGTAAAAACGTAAACAGTGTGGCCTGATCTGTATTTATTTTTTATTTTATTTATTTGAAACACCATCGGCATATTCACAATAACACTTATGTAATAACAGTACACAGACCAGTGCAGTGTGATACACCACTACAGGTATTTACAGCACTGTTAAATTAAAAACAAAGTAATACATTCAGTAATACTTATTATCTGTGTTATGTGTAAATTTATTAATATACATTATAATGTTCAGGAAGCTGGTGTGTTCGTTATCCTCGGTGTCCCAGGAAGAGGCGGCGGCGGCTGCTGCTCGCTGGCTGCCGGGACTTTTCAATCCTGAGAACTCTGCCCTCGCCCTTGTATGTCACCCCGCCAAAGTAGCCGACATGCAGGCAGCTTTCCAGAAGTTAGTATTATGCTAAGTATTAATAACATGCTTAAATTCCCTCTTATAAAACTATATCTTTGTTTCAGGATAAATATTCCTCTAGACGCATACGAATCCATGGAAGCGTCTTACATTAACAACTAGAGACTAAGTCTATATTGTGTACTCTAGTATTATATTGCATTTGATATTAAGTTTTAACAAGTATATTTTTACACTTTTGTTCAATGTACAATGAATGGAATGTTATAGCGCTATATATACAGTATATTATTTCAAAGTTGCTTGGCTGTGCCTTAATGAAAACGGTATATTCTACGGTATATTATGTAATTTTATCAATGTTGTAATACACTTATTTGTTCTTTTTTTATTTACTGGAAATAAAAGTCGAAATATTTTTGATGATATTATTTTAATCACCATTAATCTTAGAACTATGTCTATACAAAAAATATAACTTAAATATAATCAGATATTTAGTGAACATTATTATAAATCATCTCACAACCGCTGCAACATCTCCATATATAATAAGAACTTTTCTCAGAAACACCAATTCAACATTTCTTAACAGTACCATCCACTAAAATAACACAATACAGAGGAGGTTCTATTTCATATGAATATTTATTTTGAAACATCAATAATAATCTAATACCAATAATTTATGAGCTTTTCATGATTTGAGCTCACCAATACAATCTGAATACATACATTATGTTCTCGCACATGGATTCCTTTAAGAATATAACGGTTACCTTAAATATTTAAATCACTTTCATTTAATTGAATTTTGATGATCACAAAAAGTAGCAAAAATGATTGTGGCACTAATTAAGTTTGATATTTTCACTCCTAATAGGCCATAACATGTTTCATATCTTATTTATAAAACAAAGATAATTCAAACTACTACTTCATTAATTTTTAATACAAGTCGTATATGTTGTGATATTTACATATAATAATTATGATAATATGTTATTAACGTCGTTTTATTAGCCATGCATATTGTATATGCTGTATAGACTCATTTAAAAAGCACCGATAATATTAAAGATATTCTCATTTTACAAATAATAATGTATCGATTCTTTATACATTTTAAATCAACAATGATGTTTTGGACACCGGCGTTTTTAATAACAGGGCACTTGCGATTTACTTAATAAATTTAGTAATAGGATTTGGTAGAACATTAATATTACCTAAAAATACTTTACACTACAACTCCTAACAGATTAAGAGAACCTAAGGATGACAACTCGCGAATATTAACATTTATAATTACTTTATAATAGAAAGGCGGCCCCATTTACATTACTTAACGTCTCGTGTAGACAAACACGACTAACTACGATGTGCACGTTTGTAACTGTCGAGGTGCATTCACTATGAAATATAAGGAAATGCTTACAAAGAAAATATATTATAAATACAATAATAAACAAGAGTTAATATACTAAAAGTATTTCAATTAAAAGTTATCGTGTTTTTAAATAGTTCGTTTAACATTGATTTTTATTCTTATATCAAAAGAATAAAGATTAATAAAAATCAACACAACAAAGTCAATACAAATACAGAAAGCTAGTTCAATGTAAGTCATGATGTATTTTATATTATTGTAAATGAACATGTTTAACTGTCTACTGGAACTAAAACTAATTCATAAGATTAAAAACAAAAAATTTAATCATACAAATATTGTACTTAATATAGTTTCCTAATCATGAACATCGAAGGGCCTTCCACGATAGATAGATGGAATGACGAACGTGCAAACTATTACGATTAGAAAAATATACGTGATTAACATTTACAACTGGATGGAATTTAGACAAAAACAGAGGCCGCGGGTCGCGCCAGCTCGCACGCCTTGTAACAGCTACCTTTGGTTTCCGACATCGCCTCACGGAAGGTACTGAGCATCACCTCCACATTCATATAAAAATAAACCGTAACGTACTCACTGGTACTAACTAACTCGCCTACCACACACATCACTGTGTCGACTCGACATCATCTCCTAAGCGATTATCACTTCAGGTCACGAATGTACATTATAATATTAATATTAAAATATAACGTCCGTCTGAACGACAACGGACGGTGTGTGATACAGGGTGTTTACTTGTTTAGTATGTTCTATATAAAGGGTGTTGTCTACATAATGGAGTTTGTGTCTATGGTGGGCGCGTGGCTGCGGAGCGCGTCCCTGATGTAGGTGCCGATGGTGCCCTCAGCTATCAGGTGGAAGAAGAACAGATGCTCGAAGCTCTTGAGGGAGATGGAGCGGAGAGCCGGCAGCCGCAGCAATAGGGACGCGAACCGACCCTCCTCGGAACTGTGAGCGCGGCGACAGTACTCATCCAGACAGGAGAACATCTGGAAATATAACATATAGTATTAAATAATAGTCATTTTCATAAAACGATATATATCTATGGGTATACTACATATAGTAGATTCAATCGCCTATATATAATTATTTAGTAAAACTTTCTTCGAAAGAGGCGACTGTTTGCATTACTTTAATTACCAGCAAGTCTAATATACAATATACAGGTGTGTATGTATACTATAAAACATTACATTTTCTTATATACTAATCCTATATAAAACAGATATTTTTATTTCACTCCTCTCTTTTTCAGTTCACAAACGTGTCAAATTTAAAGTGTGATTGAACAAAATACTGTTCTAAATTACAGTTTATAATTTTTTTCATAAAACTTTCATTTATTTACTGAATATATTTATTACATAAACAAGACGTGATGAATGAATAATTGCAACTGAAGATGACATAGTCATCTACTTATATGTACTATAACTACATATTATGTATAATTAACCGTGTCCGATAATGTTTGTTCGTACATAAACGTCATATTATGTACATTTAATACAGTTGATGACAATCCCCGCTGTTCGCGGCACGTCAAGGGCATTATAACGAGCAATAACACATTAAGGTTAAACCAATAAATCAGCTTAATCAGACGCACTCGCTTTCTGCGAAATCTCAACCGTCAAAGGTAATTTTTGCTTCAAAACGACCGCCTAATTACTATAATTCGTGGTAAGCGGTACTCTCATTTATTGTAATCAAAAAATATAAGCTCATACCTTCTCTCGTAGAACGTCGACGTCCTGTCTGTTTTTGAGGCCTTTTATATCTGAAACGGAAATATCAACAATATTATTAATTACTACAGCTTTAACACTTCATGGGTGATTTTTTATATGTTGATAAAATATTCATTATATATTTAAACGAGTTAGCTAATAAATAATAAGCAAGTAATTTTGGTTTTTGTAACTTTCTGTTAAATCTGTGTGTATATTTTTGACAAACTTTCCGCCCGCGTGGATTTCGGTTATATCGCGTTTCAAACAGAACCTTTCAAAAGTTTGGTATAAAAACTATCCTATGTTCTCTCTCAAGGTCAACTCTATATCTGTACCAAATTTCATTAAAATCAGTTCAGTGGTTTAGGCGTGAAAGCGTAACAGACGGACAGACAGAGTTACTTTCGCATTTATAATATTAGTAGGGATTATTACAGCTTCAACATACTTTTCATGGGTGATTTTTTTTATGTGTTTAAAATAAACATTTAATATTTAAAAGAATTATTAAGCAACTAATATTAGTTTTGCAACTTTCTACTAAATCGGTGAGTATATTTTTGATAGTTTAATATGTGCATGTGTTTCTGAGTATCTATTATTCTCGTGTGTGCTTGTATGTGTGTGTGTGTTCGTGTGTCGTACCTGGGTTGAGCAGCACGATGGCCTTGAGCGCGACGTACTCGGCCTGGTCCATCCTCAGCGCCCTCATCTTCAGTGATAGTTCAGACAGCACGCGGTCGAAGATCTGACCGACGCCGGCCTGCAGCGCCGAGTTACGATGGAGAGTCATCCCTGGAAACAGATATATAATAATTTATAAACATACTAGAAGTCCCGGCGAACTTCGTATCGCCCTATAATAATCAAGAAATATCTGTTACGTTTTTTTATTTATATTTTTGAAGTTTACCTATTAAAGCCATAAAAATCCGTGTTTTGAAGTGCGACAGAATGACTGACAGATTAGTTAGTTGTCAAATCTAATGGCAAAAAAAACGTTTGTATCTATAACTACTAATAAATTAAAAATTAATTAAAAAAACATTGTCCAGCGGACAAAATTGTGAATCTACACCATTCCCAGATCCCTTTGATTACACACAAAAAATTTCATCAAAATCGGTCCTGTCGTTTGAGAGAAGTTCAGTGACATACACACTCACAGAAGAATTATATATATATAAAGGTATATTTAGGAATCATTTGTAGGTAGTTGGAATTTATATGTTTTTAAATATGTAACAACATGTATAATGTCTTAGATAAAAGCGAAATAGTTGTTACTACAACTCAAATTTTGGTAATTCTAATTATATCTATACTATTATGAATGTTTATAATACATGCCACTGACCTGGCATGAGACACATCAGTTGTGGCAGTGGTGCTGTCCGAGTACCATCCAGATTCTCTCTCTCATCTTCCAAGTACTGGAAATTAATTAGTTCATGTTATTAGTAATGTGTATAATTTGTATCGATTATATTTACTTATCAAAATCTCATTAAACTATTAGCTGTAACATAATCTTTAACTTTCATTTCTATCAATTCTACATCTATATTTCTTCTTGACTCTTTATACAACATCAATATTTCAATATTCAATAACCAGCTTACTTCTTGTTATAATCTGTTATATTATTAAGCTTTTATATGTACGTTTTTTGTGAAGGTCTATTCATAATAGTATAGTGAAGTGAAGTCTAGTGAAGTGTAAATAAAGAATGTATTAAATGATTGAGTAATAACCCTTATTTGAAACAACATTTATATAAAATAAAAAAGGACCTAGTATATTCCAAAACAAAGTAAATATATAGATTTTTTTTATTCAATGTAAAAATTATTAAGCAATGATGCCCTGTGACCTAATTTATTTTTGTCTCTTAGTAAGTCTGTACATAAATTAGTCAAAATAATAATACATAATCTATTCATCATCTATTGGAAGTTGCATTAAAATTCGTCCACCTATTTGGACATTTAAAAAATCAATTCACATGTCTTAGTCTTACTTCAAAATAGCAAAACTTATTCATAAATATTTATTTTCATTAAACAATAGGTACATTTATATAATCCGTTATACATTTTCTGTCTGTATGTATGTATGTGTGATAAATAAATAAATAGCCAAAGCTATTCACAACATGTAAGGCAGATCCTGGCTTTAGCTGGGAAATTGCCAGGTAGAAGAAGAAGATGTATGTATGATACCTCCATACTCCTCCAAGCGATAGCGAACAGCATGAGCTCGTTCCAGGAGGCCTTGATCAGTATGACCTGGTCTTCGAGCTCCAGTTGACTGAAGTGAGGTATGTCACGAGCCCACACCACTAACGCGGCGATCTGTTTATTACCTGGAACATTTAAATATGATAATTAATATACAGATATTGTCATATTAAACGATGTAGCTAGTAACATGTTATTTTTAATTCGTTCTATATTCTTCTAATATTATCATTGCGAAAATTTGTGAGTGTGTGTGTATGTTTGTTACTTCTTCACGCTCAAACGGCTGAACCGATTTTGATAAAATTTTGTGTACAGGAACCTGACGTCCAGGAATAACACATAGGCTACTTTACATACCGGAAATCTTCAGGTAACACTGCGTGGCGCAGCTAGTTTATTATAAAAACCATCTATTGTTGGTGGCTTTGGCCCTTTTTGAGATGAGATTATCTTTATGTTTCATTTTATTTCTGGAGAACCCCTTTATCAGATACTTAGTGACAATGGGACTACTTTATGACAATGCTCTCTAGATGAAAAAATAATATTATTACTCCTTATGAAGTAACCTACTAACAAGTGCAATTCTAGTCAAAATCGGTCCAGCCGTTTTAGAGATTACTAATTGATATTTATGATACCCTCAATAAGAACGGTTACAATAATTACCAGACTTATGTTATATATTAAAATAAATCTTTAACAGAGTCGTTAATAATAAATAGCCTTGTAGTTCATTGGTGCAAGTTATACTTATAAATATTGTATGTAAACAGCACATGACAGTTACTTATATTTATTAAGCCATATTTTATTTTACAATCTTCTCAAACAATCCTACTAATATTATAATTGCGAAAGTTTGTGAGTGTGTGTATATGTTTGTTACTTCTTCACGCTCAAACGGCTAAACCGATTTTGATAAAATTTTGTACACAGGAAGCTGACGTCCAGGAATAACACATAGGCTACCTTACATCCTGGAAATCCACGGGTAACACCGCGGGGCGCAGGTAGTATGTATATAAGTATCAAATTTTGGTATGCAGAGAGAGGAGCTTGGACGGTGGAGGTGTATGTTTAATTCTAGTTAGATAGGGGCCCCTTAAACTACACCTGGGTCGCAAGTCCCAGTCACTGTTGAAGCTCCTCTCCCTGCAACGATGGATACGACACCCGTACGGTGAATCCATGGAATGCAGAGACGTTACCTCTCATATTATTTCCAATTGAATTTTATTTTATATATCAGTTATAATGAAATGCATATTTTTTTCACATTCTCGTCTATTCGGCCATCACTAAATTGGCAAGTGTTATTTTATTTTTATCTTTCTTAAATAAAGTGTGTTTTGTCGCTACATCGATAACTTTATAACCTGTTATGTTAAATTTCCCATGTTTTTCTCTCAACATAAGTAAATAATATTATTGAATTCTTTATAATTCTACAAATATATTACTAACTTGCACGAACATTAATTACCTACTAAATTTGATAATAAAGTGTATGGCGGCAAGGAATATTTTGTATTTTTTTTTTTATAAAGAAAAAGTTTATAATAAAATGGTTCGATATTAAAAACTATTTCATTAGTCAGTGTGTTGTTCACAATATAGTGTATAGGTCCAGTGCCTTCATAACAATGTAACAAAGACATCTTATGACGTCATCAATACATCAACTACTCCGCGCATATTTTTTGGATGTTGTCATATTTTTATTGCAGCAGCTTTTAAGCTTTAAGAAAAGATAATTTTATTTTAGAGAGGTTTTATTACGCATTCTTATGCTTTAGAAGGACAAAATTGTTCGGTATATAAGTTAAAATGGAATGAATGCTGCAAATGGCAAAATTTATATGTTTTATGCTCAAAACTAGCTATAGACTTAAAAATCTTTACAGGCAGGCAACACAAATACTACTTAACTATACAGTAGATCTTCATTAATAAAATAAATGGGTATAGCGAAAGTGTTGAAATCTTCGACCGTATATATGCACAGATTCTGTTTCTTTTCAATCATTTTACAAAATATTTCTAGATTTAATCAAAGACATATTGTTGCAGTAAGACTGAATTACATTTAAAGTCACATATTTACGTATATAGAGTAATAAAGACGTATAATAAATGTATGTTAGCTATACAAACATAATACGTATGTGTTATAAGTATCCTACTAATATAATAATTTGCGAAAGTTTGTGAGCGTGTGTGTATGTTTGTTACTGCTTCACGCTCAAACGTCTGAACCGATTTTGATAAAAAAAATTATAAAGGAAGCTGACGTCCAGGAATAACACATAGGCTGCTTTATATCCCGGAAATCCGCGAGTCACACCGCGGGGCGCAGCTAGTAAGGAATATTTACCAATCTGACAGAGGCTGGACACGGGAGCCCTATATCTCGGTGGCACGTTACTGTCGGGACCCACGCGGAGGAACTGGAACTCCTCATTAGGGTCCGCTACCAGAGACTCCATCTCAAGTAGACGCTCGATTGACAGCTCCTAGTAATAGATAAATAATAACTATTAACTACATATGTCGTGGTGGCCTAGTGGTTAAAAGACCGCCTCTCATGCATGAGAGCGCGGGTTCGAATATGGTAAGTACTAATGTGATTTTTCCGAGTTATGTGCACTTTTGACTATTTAGATACCACTGATAGACGGTGAAGGGAAACATCCTGCGGAAATCTGGACTGAATTTCAAATTATAACTTTGAAATCGCTAAACTGCATTGAACAAGCATAGTGATTAATGCTCAAAGCTTCTTCGTGTAAGAAGCCTTTGCTCAGCAGTGGGCTCTGATAGGGTGATGAAGATTATTATAGAACTAACTATTACGACGTCTGAGATTACGTTATTATAAATAAAATATAAATTGCATACATATTCCTGTACGTATATGAGGATTTTTTTAATAGGATGGAAAAAATTTAAGTCCTTATAAAACATTCGTGAAATGACCTTACAGGTATAAAGTATTTATGTTACGGAATACAGAGTACAAAAATATATTCATCACGGCCATATTATACATGCATAACTGATACGAGGCGATCTATCCTTGAATGAAGGACGGTCCACAAGGACCTCCATACATAACCCTCTGACCAATGAGCTCGTTTATAAATGTAACTTCACCTACACTTATATCACCAACCAATGAATAATATTTTATTCGATTTATACACTACACTATGTTTAATAAAATAACTCGATTTATTAACTAGGTGGTACATTCGGCTCTGTCTGATTTACTGTTTGTAATTTTTTAGGTTTTGTACAAAAAATATGTAATTTTTATTAGACGAGAAATAAACTCAATATTATTATGGTAGTTAAACAAAAATTTTTAAAATTATTTTATTGATAGTACAAGAAATAAAATTTATACATTTCTATGCCCACATTCAAGACACTTGTTTTTAATGATTTATTTTAGAATTCTTTTATATACCATACTTTTAATGGACTACAAATAAAATAAGATTATGTTTCAAATAACACATAACTCAGTTTTTTGTTATGTTCATAACCAAAACCGGTTATTAATGCTCTAATAAACTTATTATTGCACCCCTTTGGTTTTGAAGTTACAGGAATGAATGCACGACAATATGGCTTCAATTTTTGTTATATATAAAGACCATAATGGCATAAATAAAAAACATAAACAACCTTCTAACCAATGGTCGTGGCAATTTCCCGCCCACACACGATCCGACAATAGAATTATTAACATAGTATTATATATAGCTGTTATAATTGTGGCGGCTTTATTGATTCTCGCCCCGACGCGATGTTGTTCTGTTACTAGCAACCTAGCAAACATATATTACATAGAACCTACTGTTTAATGACTTTAATACGACCCTGACATATACACAACGAAGTTATATCGATTATCGATTTTATAAATGTAATAAATCGATTTTAATTTTCCATCGAATGTTATCAATATAGCAATGAAGTTGAAAATCCAAGTAGCAAAGTGCAACTGATATTTTATATAGTATCAAATTTTAAAATTTTTAGGGACGTTAGAAATTCCGAGGATTTAGGAAATCTGATACACTATCGTGACCGCGCACAAAACATACAGGAAATAGCAGCTGCTCCAACAAATGGTGTTTTGATCGAAACCGTATCACAAAAACATCTTTATACATAATACATATGTATGGATTTAAGTAAACTTGCCAAAATTGTGTACACTTACAGATTTTGTACACATACAGATAAAACGCTATATATCGAAAATAAGATCGAAGCTTCATCAATTCGTTCAATATAATTACGTACTCCATATATATGTACATACATAATATATCGTCTAGCTATACAGATTAATATATGCATGGATAAAGTAAGAAACCGATCGACGTACATTATATCAGAGGTTAAAGGGGCATTGGCTGCAAACAACTATACAACCCGAATTAAATTGATAGGCAATGCTATAAACAACGTGTAGCGGACACCGTCTGAACAGACATTCGATTTAATTAAAAGAGAATTTTATTTAACACACCATTTAACAAGTAAAAGATAATGAAGATTTTATTAATTCATCTAAAAGAAGAAATCTTAAACAAAATTTCATCGAATAATATTAAGTAATAACCAAAATAAATTTGTCCGAACGAACCCAGGTTGTAAAGCTAGTATATCCAAAGATCAAGTTAATTAAATTAGCGGTTTCGATGCAACGAGCGTCACTGATGAAACTTAACGTCCATGACAGAAACAAATAAAAGTTTGTACAACGTAAATAACTTAATGTATATATATTTTAAGTCATTATGTTTTACGACGAATAATAAAATTATGATTACAGAACTCTGTGGCTTGTTAAATATTATTATGATTGGATCACTGTTACTAGCGAGTGTAAAACTATTGAAGACATTTATTAAATATATTAAAAACTTGATTATTCCAAGGCGATGGAATATTTAATTGTGATTTATTATCATGTTTTTTGATCAAAGATTATTAAATTTTTTAATGAATTATGGTATAAAATGTTTTTAATTAATACAAATATTGTAATCTTATCTCATTTGTATAAGAATAAAATTGGTCATATCGTATAACATAAACGAAAAATTTACTAATACATTATTGGTTACAAAGAAGAACAATTGAGGGTTATAGCACACCTTTAGCCAGGGTTGACAAAAAATGTAAATCAAATACACAAGTTATAGGGCAGAAAGTGAGTTTGTGCCAACCCTGAAATCGGAGATGAATCCTAATCAAATATCGTCACATCATGTATATTACCTGTACTGAGCTGCTCGGATGTACGTCCTCTGCGCCCCTCGCAGCCCTCTGCCTCTCCTCCTGCACAGCCTCCCTCTTCATGCCGCACGCCAGACATTTCTGATAGCGGCAGTACTGGCACCTGTTCCTCTGACGCTTGTCTATAATACAATTCCTCTCCTCGCGACACGCGTACGTCAAATCTTTACGGACGGTCCTCTTGAAGAATCCTTTACAGCCTTCGCAACTGTAATAATGTTTTAATGAATTTTATACACACACACATACATATATGGATTCCGTTTACATGGTCTCTTAAATATAGAAATACCTATAATAAGTATTGTATAAAGTATTCTTATTAATCATTGTAAAAATGTTTCAAATATATGTAGATGGGCATTAAACGCGGCGATTTTATCTTCGATCATACATTGCATTATAAATACAAGCGACATACGTCATTACAGACAATAATCTGTACAGGAATATTAATGGCGAAGTAAAATAGAATCGATTTCAGCAGTTAAGCAATCCCGACTGCTTATTATCCCCCGCATCCAGGGTAATCAAGAGCAAATGAGTCTCTGATCGCAAGAAAGTGTACTTGGGCAATTCATTGTGCAAGTCAAGACTCATTAATAACGCAACATGACACGCAGCATCCTTAAGGCACACTCATGCTCGATCATTGTAAAAACATTCTACATCCAATGTCCTACAAGAAACATCAAACAATACATTGTCCAACATCCGTAATGATTATGAAATAAATTGTAAACAAAATTATTCCTATCAAATATATTCTAGATTTTCGTATTATCAGTACGCTTTGATAAAACCTTGTATGGAATGAAGAAAAACAATTTTATCTGAACGATAAAATGCATATTTGATGTCATGGAAAAGATACGTCTAAATAAAGCGGTCTATTGTTCACAAATTTGCTGATTTCGTATAAAAAAATACCAGACTAAATCAATTTTCTTTGTCTGGAACCCGCATTAAAATTAATTCTTGATCGATCTATACATATAGTTCATGGATATGAATCGTTTACATAACTCATGTGATATTTAAAGAAATACACCACTTTCACTTAACATCGAAAAACAGCTGTGCCCTAAAATCGATGTCGACTTCGCGCGAAACGATATCTTGTCCGGAAATTATATCATATTTTTAAATCGACGGTGACTCGGTTATTTTCAAATCTAAAAAAAGATAAAACAAGAAAAGAAAACAAAAGGATGAAACACTGAAACCAGTTGTGGCCCACATATTTAATGTACACAAAATATATATACACGTTACATATAAGGACGGATCGACCTATGAACGGCTCACGAGACTTCTCAAAGGAATGCGAAATACGATCGACATAAAATGTTAACAGCTTCATTTTACATTTTTCTTAACATGGCATCTATAATATGAATCGATTATAAAAAATATGAGTAGAACAAGTTACAGATGACTGTGTCTCATCACTCATGTTATTGTGACATGTGAAATCGAAATTATGTTAACAAAATCATTGATAAATCAATTTAAAACACCCGTGATCCATTTACCTGCCCGCGTCTGAATGATTTTTATACTAAAGTATTCTCAAGGTGAAAATAAAATGTCTCTTGCATGAAATTACAGTCGGACGGCGATCGATAGAATTGTAAATTGTTTCAATAATGTATCAGATTGTAGAAAGGTGGAATAGTGTATGTAGTCAGAGCAACACCCACGCTCTGGCAGCGGTACTAAACTCTTTGAAGCGTTTTACACATAGAAATATTGAATTTTGTGAGATAAAATTGTTCTTTTGAAGAGCAGATTGCAACGTACCCGCTTCATACCGAACTGTCTACGTTATGTAGATACTCCTACATTATATTTGTACGAAGTGTCTAGAAGTCTAGACGTGATCCAACACAACTATATATAACATACATCATTCAGACATCAAACTTGCTTTGTTAAATTGTTACTGCTAAACATCGCATTACTATTTGTTATAAAAATTAAAATAAACCACAAATTCACAAACATATTGTTTCAAAAGTAAACTTAATAACTACCTTTAAAGCATATCTGTTAATAAACTGGGTAAAAGCTAACTAATTTCTAATATTTTTCTTACACATAGTAAATATTAGGTATACCCGAAATTTCTTATTACATAGTAATTTGAGTCAACATCCTAGGACCGATAGGAAATGAAGCTTCAAGTAAAATTGATACATTTGTTTCTTTAAAGAAATTCAGCGAACAAACACACCAAAATTTCATATTATGAAAAAATGTTTAATAATGGGACACCAACTAAATCATTGGTATTCTCTTCGTGTAGTATTTGGCTTATTTTCCTACAAAAAATATTCTCTTGGTATTTCGTTTAACGTGTTATCTATACATATATATATTGTTATATAAGTTATTTTTTATCAGCGGTAAATCTTAAACGACTCCAATCGTTCTTTTGCATTCCAAAAGTTTCGCGTCCCTAGATGGTCCTATGTAAATTTTGTCGCTGTATTCTTTATGTGAAAACAAATTTCAAACTAAATATATTCCTGTTTTTAGTCGGTTTGTTTTTATAAAATATTTTGGGGAACATACAATTCCTTATTATTATACAACTAGAAGCCGTGGTTAGAATTTTAATTTTGATTAAGTTTCCTATATTCTTAATACTTATATTCATTCACTTAGTGACGATTTTTCATAAATAAAATAATCAGAAAAAAATATCGAAGGTTTTTACTTATTACATGCTTAGCAGTTACATATTTAGCATAAATTACCTATAAACTCCGTAATGTTTCCCCGATGCTCTGTCTCCGCATATGGAACAGAGGTGTTTGGATCCGCTGAGCGGATGATTCGGGGGGTAGTTCCTCATGGCTGAGGGTGAGGTGGCGTCCTCCCTCATGCCGTCCAGCATCGCTGTGTCCGGCTTCATCTCTGGTGGAGACATGGGGGACATGAACCCCGATTCTATGTTCAGCCCTGAAACAAAATATTTCAATAAATACACCAAAAAAACAACGTGTTATCGACAAAAAATGTTTTGTATGAACTTAAACAGAAATCTCTACATAACATTACAAATGTACTTTGTTTTGATAGAATAGGAAAACATTTACCAAAATATTACGCATTATACATTCGTATTTATTCCTGCTAAATCCCTATTTGTCAACACATTTCGATTGATCTCTTTGTATTCAATACCATATTACATATACAGCTTTGGTTGTAGAGAGTAGGAAAATGAGTCAAAACTTTAAGTTGTGGTTAAAAGGTTTCGTTACTATTGTCTCTATTTTGTAGGTAAACAATATCACCTAAGTACATTAGGACATCCACACCCAGGTAATCATGTAAACTGATGATTAATCATATCATAACATTCATGATTCACAAGGATAGAGTACTTTGTAAAGAGATATGGACAATAGATAGAAATGGTGTTGGGTGATTCAGAAAAACCCGAGAGAACCGGTCCTTTACAGTTACGACTTTGTGGCGAGTAAAAAAATAAACACCCTCTATATACACATATCATATAGAATTATTTTCTTTCTGTAGATTATTTCATACTGTTCTGCTGTTAAAAACATTTTCTAGCAAAATACTAACGAGTTTAAAAAGTACATTTACATACATAGCAATTTATTTCTTTTATCTTTTATTTAGTATTATAAAAATTATAATAAAAGACATATTCTCTTCGGCCGTTCATCATTTATGCGACGAGGCTACCAAATTATACAGAATAAACAGACAAACCGTTTATGATAATAGTCCCTTAGTATTCCGCATTATAAATTACAATTGCCAAACGAAAAACACGACTGAGATACACACGACAAAAGCTGACTTCAACATTGCCTTAAGGAGCGGCCCAAAATAAATTACCTACCCGCTCTCGGTGGCGGAGTCAAATAAAACTTAAAAGAAATATATAAAATATACAATAAACAGACATACATTGTATTATTTAAAAATTAATTAAAATATTAGATTTCCAAAAGCCTATATATGTATAAAAGAGATTTTTCTTAACCAAGTGTTAAAAATAAATATGAATCATTTCTAAAAATAACATCTAAATTAGAGTTTTCAGAAAAGCGAGCTTAATTTAATCATAATAAAGAAATGTTAGATGTTTACTTCTGAGAATTGCTAAAAAGTAATCGTAACGTGCTAACAATAATATAAATGTAACAAAATATAAGATTATTTGTTAGTATTTTAAACTTCTATGAAATACTTTTGAATGAACTATTGCATCAGAAAAAGCTCCTTGTGAGATCATCATTCTACTGCCAGGTGAAAATCTACATCTAAAATGGTGACCTATTGTTTAAGAGTATATGAGTCTTGTATATGAGTTTATCCTTTCAGACGTTGTAGACAGACATTAGAAGGAACAGACAAACCGACAAAGAAATTCAGAATTATTATGATAAGACAGTCATACACTCCAATTTTATTTAAAAATTATGTTTATATAAAATCTATATGTATATACAAACATTTTGTTGCGTCATCCAATTAAAATTTGATTTTGAATAAAATTTTGAGGGTATAAAAATAATTGCTCCTATCAAGTAACAAGATATAAATCCGAATTAATTTAACATAAAACATTTTCTTAATTGTCTATTACCATTAAAAATATACAACATTATATTAATTATTATTATTAACTAGAAAACCTGGCGAACTTCGTATCGCCCTATAATCAAGAAATATCTATTACGTTTTTTTATTTATATTTTTGGAGTTTACCTGTAAGCATTAAATCTCCGTGTTTTGAAGTGCGACAGAATGATTGACATATTAGTTAGTTGTCAAATCTAATGTCAAAAAAACGTTTGTATGGAAAATAGAAAAGGGCTGTTTTTATGGTTTTCCCAGTAATGAATCAATTTTTTTCAGCTTTCATACCTTCCCTGAACCTCCACGAACATTTAAAGACTAAGATAAGATAAATCCGTTCAGCTGTTCTCGAATTTTAGCGAGACTAAGGAACAGCAATCCATTTTTATATATATAGAAGATTAAATCGAAAATAGAAATAAAATTCGTAATATTTTTGTACCCTTATTCAACAAATTGGATTAAAAAAGTACTTAGACTATGGACTTGAGTCTAAAATTTAAATAGATATAAATTTTTAATCTAAATATAACTAAGAGTGAAGGGTGAAGATATTAATAGTAATAAAAATTAATAATACATTTTTTTCTTAAAAGGCTGTTACGTTGAATAAATAAAAATATCTTTGAGATATTTTTAACCTAATAAAAAAACCCCACACAATGGCAAACAGTTATCATTTATAAGAGGTAATATTGTACATAAAACTCGAAAAAACACAAAACAAAGAGTTACGTAGTATAAATTGAACGCCATCACAGACCGATCGATAAATCCCTGCACATCGTGATTTAAAATTTAATAGGAACTAAAAAAAAAACACATATTTTTTGTCTTCTCTATTCAACAACGTACTGCGCAATTCGTCATGAGATGAAAAGTAACAAATTGTGTTATGGAAATTCCAATATTTATTGCCTTGAATGTAATGAAGTAGGTATGCGGACTGAACTTCATAATATTCCTTTGTTGTACGTTATACAAAGAAACTTAATAAAACTTTCTTATATTAATTTATACTTCTTCAAAACTATTGCTATTTTGTTTTGACATAAGAATACCGTATACAAGTTATGTTACTGTAGAATTGGTAACACTAGCTGATACATTCGGTTTCGCTCACCTTGCATTATGAAACAATAATAATTAAAATAAAACATATAGTAAAAATTATTTCAATTTAACAATTAAAATATTAGCAAAAAATACTATTAGTGTAAATAAATAATAATTGCTTATTTCATTCATGAAAACGAATCTTTAAATAAACTTCGATACAACCTTAATTTCTCTCAATCCTTTCCAAAGCTCATCAGTCATCTTCCCTATTTATTTTTTTCTTCGAAAGCTAAAAGTGTATTTATTATGTGGAAAGTAATAACGTAATTTGATATACTTAACGTTATTGCGATATTTTAACATTATTCCCACATCCAAAGGGTACTTATGAGGGTCTGAGGATACTTGGGACCGGAGTTTGATCAAAGAAATAGTAAAAAAGATATACGGGCTATATACGTAAATATTTAACGATATGATAGATCTGTTTATACATTTAAAAATATAGAATTATATTATAATAACAATAATAGCTATCATTTTAGAAGATACATTATGTATTATTTATTAAAAGTAAATATAATATTGTACATAGCTTTACAAACAGCTTAAACCGAGACTATTTACATTTATTGGGCTTTTATCATTCAAATAATGACTCCTTTCATATTAAATTAAATTTAAACAATCTTTTATAAATAAATAGATCGGACCAGATCTCAAAGTTAAGCGGGATTTGGTAATGATGAAGTTATAATATACAGCTGCGTGCAAAAGTATTAGGCACCCCTATTGTTAGTCACTATCTCATTATATTGCGGTCAAGTGTGTGTTTTATGGTTTAGCTATTGTATTAGCGGCAATTTTTAACCATATTAAGATAAAAGAAAATATTTATGACATCCAGGTGTGCTCCTAAGCGGTATTTCTTCGAATTTGCTTTTTTTGCGTTTCGGGTTATAGTGTGTTATCAGTGCTTGCAGTGAACATACACGTCTTCTACGCAACTATTCCTATCACAATTCTAAAGACTAACATTTAACGTGTTAATCATGCCGAAAAAATCTGAACTTAGTGCTGAACAGCGTCTAAGAATTAAGATTTTACATGAACAAGGCATGTCTCAGGTTAAAATAGCCCGAGAACTGAAGTGCTCGCGATGTGCAGTTCAATATGCTATAAATCGCTTCAAAGAGACTGGCACCCATGAAAATAGACCAAGAACAGGCAGAAGAAAAGTTACTACTGAACGGGAAGATCGATTGTTGATTAGACAGTCTCTACAAAACAGAAAAAAAAACTGCTTTAGAGCTCGCTGCAGCATTATCTGAGGCAAAAGGCAGCTCAGTGAGTGTTTATACTGTGAGAAGAAGACTTCTTAAAGCTGGATTAAAAGGATGTAAAGCAAGGAAGAAGCCGTGGCTGTCAGAACACAATAAGAAAAATCGGTTGGAGTGGGCACTCAAACATAGAGATTGGTCAGTGGAGGATTGGTCCAACATACTGTGGTCAGACGAATCTAACTTTGAGGTATTGTTATTTATTTTATGTACAATATTAAAACACATAAATGTTTTTAAAATAACGTACTGCAAGAAAAATAATAACTTTGAAAATAAATGTGTTTTTTTCGTTTGGCATAGGTGTTTGGAACACCCGGTGTGACTTATGTTAGGCGAAGGGTTGGCGAAGAATACAACCCAGAATGTGTGGTTCCCACTGTTAAGCATGGTGGAGGCTCAATAATGATCTGGGGCTGCATGGCTGCCGACGGAGTGGGCGAAATGGTGTTGTGTGAGGGACGAATGAATAGTGTTAAACACACTGAAGTTCTGGAAACAGCACTAGCAACGTCGATAACGCCAATTTTCGGTGATACAAACACCGATGGCCTGAAATTTCAGCAAGACAACGACACTTGCCACAAGTCCGCGCATACCATGAAGTGGTTTGCTGAAAATCATATTGATCTTTTGGACTGGCCACCACAATCACCAGACCTCAACCCGATTGAGCATATTTGGTCCATTTTAAAGAAAAATATCCGCAGGCACTCGATTAGCAATAAACAAGCTCTATTGGCCTCGTTACAGCAGGAATGGAAAAATATATCAAGAGAAGAATGTTTCAGGCTGGTAGAGTCAATGCCAAAAAGAGTGGCTGCGGTTATTAAGTCAAAAGGTGGACCTACAAAATATTAATTATTTTCTTAAAAAAAAACCATTGTAATCATAAATGCAGTTTTATTTACACTCGCTATGCTAAAACACCCTAAAACTTGTCTTACTGTAGGGTGCCTAATACTTTTGCCCGTGGCTGTATTATACTTGGATGTGATGTTTTTAAACACCCGTATAGTGGTGTCATTAATCACACAGCGTATGTGTTAATAACAAGTTTTTAATACTTATTGATCTTATGAAATTTTAATATATGTATGCCTTCGGCCTCGGTGAGTTTATGGTTAAGTTTGGCATTTATTGAAATACAATCGTGTCGTATGTAAGAGACACAGGAATTATGATAATTGGCGACGGTAACTCCGGGGACAGACAGCCTTTAACTGAGAGAGTTAACGAGAAATATAATTTGTACAGGATGTTATAAGATGCAATTTGACGCTCAATTAGGATTGATTGTATGAGTCGCAATTTATTCGTTTTCATATTTACATTTCATGTCGACTGTCGACTAACAAATAAACTTGGCATGTTCCCTTTGAATGCTCATCCCTATGTATTTATCTACCATTAAGATCTCGTTATAATAATTTAAGGGTCGGATGTAACGTCATCATAAATATTCCTATTAATAGTACGAAAGGATTGTGTGGAATGGAATTACTTGTGTGTATTGTTAAAACATTTACATTGCATGTCGATAGAGCAGTCGACGTTGGGAATGTTCGAGGATGTTCCTAGGGACTGCAGGAGCGCCGTGGAGGAGACGGGCACCGCCTGCGCCAGCTGCTGCTGAGGGCCCGGCGGCGCCGGTCGAGCCCAGTTGATAAGCGCCGTCACTGACATGGTCGGCTTATCTTTCTTCGCCACGCTCGACATGGCCACTCTCTAACATCCTCACATCACTGCACCACTAAACTTCACTCTCGACCCGATCGCAACACAATGTGAACACTCACGAGTTCGATTTATCTATTTTTATATCGTACAAGTCAGACGTAGACCTGCTATCGGAGTAGACGCTGGGGACAAAGCGGACGTCGTTGTATTGTGATAATGTTTGTTATTGCAGTGGATGCGCAGACGCAGCGCCGGCCGTATCGCCGTGCACCGTCAACAATGAGTCGTCGTTAGCGAGTTAGCATTGAAGGTTACTTGTGGAGTGACTAATGCGCGCTTAAATTCAACGAGCTCGAAATTGACAAAAAATATAGCTGGCGACTTCCGCGCGGTTACTGCCACGAAGGTCTCAGCTCGACAGGCCGGCTCAAGGTCCGCATACAATCATACGTGAATAAATCTCATTTTATGACGAAAACTAGTTGTTGTAATCGATTTTTTTGCGTTCCGTTTCGTAAATGATATAGAATTGATGTAAATATTAACATTTTATTGCTGCTTTGGAACTGGAATCCTCTAAATAATTGGACTCGTTAGACGACGGCCTTCGTAGCTACCGCTGTTGTAATTAAGTTTTGCGTCATGAATTGATCTCCCCCCGTCTGCTTTTATATAAAGTATAGTATAAAGATTTCGCTACATCACGATGCCTATTATGTGATATATAAGTACTCGTATACAATATTTGCCATGTCAGAATTACCTACATAAAAATAGATATCTAGTCGAATCTTATCAAGTTCTACTAATCGATATTATTCATTTACTTATTTTCATTTCTTTTTGTATAGCAAATAATTGTATTTTCATTCAATTTATCCTCATTTAAATAATACAATTCAAAATTCGAAATAACAATTTTTTGTAGCCCGAATTCCTAGGAATAAATTAATTGATAAATTCATATAAAATAAGGAATTCTATTAGTTTAATGTTTGGTGTATGGTAGTTATCAGCATCACCCCATATGTGGGTGACTGTAACGTGACCTTGAGCTATGTGCGTACACGCCTCCACGTGCATTTAGTTTTTACTATTAGAATAACACTGAGGCGTCATGGTATCACAAATAGTTACATATTCATCAGGCAATTAGTACATCTTTGTTTTTCATTACTGTAACACCGGAATGTAATTTTTATAATGTTTATATAAATGCTTAGTTCGTCTTATATACATATAAATATATAAAGACCTGTAGCTTACATAAGGCTGCATATAAATTAACGAATTAGATAAATATCATGAAAGCTCTCTAAATATTAGAGAAATAACAATCATATGCAACGTAAAAGAACACTCTACAATGCATGAAGCTAAACATGCCAATTTAGGTAGATACTAACATACATAATAAATACAAATAAAAAACACTAATACCAAAAATCTCCAAATTGACATGCATATTTATGAATTTAATGGTAGCAAACCTGTTTTTCTGGACTACAGAATAATATACCAGTAAAATCATTTTCCTCTACATATTAAAGTAAACTCAACTTGGGTAAATGATTACGATTGACATTGAATTTAAATAATTGTCTTTTAATGTGTATGTAGCCAAAGTTACTGATAGCGCACCGTAAAGCATCAACACAACGAACTAAGCGAACGTTATTTCAAATTTAGTTGGTACAATCTTTGAGTGATCTTGAATCGCTATTAATTTTTCAGCATGACCATATTGTGAAAAATTCGAAATTTATATGAAGTATTCAAAGATATTTAAAGTCAAAAATATTTTGTTATATCAACAGAGAACGTTGACGTAATACTTGTACTTGTATCTTCTATGAAATCACCTGATTGTGATTACAATTTAGAAAAAAAAACTCCGCGAACATACAAGTTAAATTATATATAAAGTTAAAATACGATCAGTATAGCGTGATCACCGATATTATGAAGTAAGATCTAACATATAATGATTGAAGGAGAGTAGATTGTTCCGAGCAAGAATTTTTCCACTTTCATTTACTTTCATAATAACGGACGATAAAAATGAATGCAGCGTTGCATGTGAAGCGAAGCAGTTCTTTGTAACAGTGCGACACTCAGAATGGTATCGATCGCACCTGACCTTAAAACATCGCTGGCTATACAATTAATGGAAACGATATGTCCGCATAGCTCATCTTATCGTAAATTCGATAAACACTTTCATTACAAAAATAACAGCTGTTCAAAACTAACTAGCAGAAATTACGTAAAAACAATAACAAAAAATGTGAAAGTATTATAGGTACATTATGAGAGTAACGTTTCAGTAGGCCAACTGGGGTTGTTGGATGCGACACGACGTTGGTGTCCTACGTGCGTCCTAGACTTGACCTGATCACCGGCTCCGGGGCGCGGTCTGGCGGGGGAGAGGGCAGGAGTGAGTCAATGACGCGCGGGGGGGAGGGGAGGTGCACTTGCCGCGAGATATAGGTAAACGGAACGCGGAGCGAGCTCGGGGGCCTGCGACCTTGGCGATTCAGTGTGGACTACAGGTGGTTTTTGTTTGCACACCGCTAATACGAGATCGCCGATTCTCACTGGCCAGCGACCACTGAGCGGTGAGGAGTGAGGCGTCTGGTCAGCCGGTCCACGGACGCGAGGGGGGATGACAACCGGAACTTGATCCGAAACAATGCTTCTTCATTTCCAACACCGGTCACGCGCTTATATACTATATACAACACATATAATTACATATATGTATATATAAACTAAAGCAACCTTGTCCTGAACTAACTTCCGTCGCTTTAATTAAACGATAAGTTTAAATAATATCGAGTCAGTTGTTAAAATATTTTATATGCGATTATTTACCGACTTATTACATACGTGATGTATTATGTAGCGGTCCATGAAATATCTCCACATAAAATAAATAATTAATAACATAGAAGGATGTACAAAACACGAATGATGTAATCGTTTTAAATATCATCACTAATAAATTTATTCCGTTCAATAGAAATATAACAAACGTATAGATTCAAACGTTGACAAATTGACTACAGATAATTAAATAATAAATAATAAGTAAAAAAAAACTAACATCATTCGATTATAACGATCCACAATAAATTTATAATAAAATCGATGTTATGAATAAATAATGAATATGAAAACATTAGTATACGTATAATATATAGATGTGTTACATAATACCGACAGCGAGACCTTGGCCGTGACCAGCCGGCGGACGCTTTCCGAGCCGTGACGCGGCCCGCTCACGCCCGCGATTAGACGTCAACGATAACAATTACATTTTAATAACATTTGATGTGAGAAACGCATAGACTATAAACGATCCGACACCACACAGATTATATATCAATAATTTTTTTTATCAGTTATTCAAACTCTTTTCAAATCAAAGTCTTTAATTTGCATTCAGAAATCGTACGGTGGCCGATATAAATTTGAAATGGAAAGCTCTAGATATTACTGCCCCAGTGTCAAAACTTTTGCTTCATGATAACCCGAATTCCAACTTTAAATTATATTAATTTTATCAAAAATCATAAGCATTATAGATGCTAACATTTTTTTTGATATGGTAAATCGGAATGACGATGTTAAAGCCAGATTTGTTTCTTAAGAAAAGGCAAAGCTTTTTAGAATTTCAAGATGTGAGACATTATTTCATCAAAAGCAATACTAAAGTGCTAAAGTTATTTTGTTCTGAAAAAATTGTGTCACATTTGATTAAAAACACAAATTATTACAACGAGAGACATTTTCTGATGCTGCCAGATATTTACAAGGCAAATTGAGTGACAGGACTTATATGTACATATTATATTTGTTGCCTTAACTTTAAACGACACTAAAGCCACATTAATTAAAATTAAGTTTATAGTAATGACGAATAATATTTTAAATATAATATGTAATTAAATTATGTATATCAAAAATAACAATTTAGTATTCCAAAAGTGAATAAGCATGAGGGCGGCAATGAATTCTAATAAACTAGAAGACCTTGACAATCATACCATACATTGTAACAACCAGAGTAATAAAATAACTTGTAAGCAATAAGGACATTATTTTAATTGTATGCTAACTTTTAGTCAACATAAGGAAATAAAAATAATTAATTCGCAATTTACAACTTGCTACAGCTATATTGCCTGTAATTAATTGGATTTAAATCGTGTTCTGTGAGATCTGATTTTGAAAAAAAAATAATTAAATTTTGCAGTATTCTTATGGAATTTTAAATCACAGAAGTTAAGAATGGTTTTTATTTAAAGTACTAAGACAAGCATGTAAGTGATCACAAAATTAGAAGAGCCATTCCAAATAATAGTAATTTCATTTGTTTGTTAAATCGTCACAAACGATATACGATACTTTCTTTTTGGAATCTAAAATATTTTTTTTTAAATGTTCGTATTAACTTACAAGTACTGGAGGCATGTAACTTAGATCTGAAAGATTTCATGTAATAGCGAAAATCGGATTCATGGAGGAAATCCGTTAAGGTGTCGGCCTCATCAGCGATCTCTTTGGCACGCTTTGTACGGTCCATTACATCACCCTGACGTCAACATTACAACAGAATTTGGAGATCTATCATGTACGAAAACGCACTTCATAATTACAGAGATGCAACACCTAGCACGATTAAACAGATAACAGAATTCATTTCAATGGAGTCAATACACTTGCAACCTTGCAATGCTCTTTACGACTCAAGTCAGATAAAGACATAGGGCATAAAAACATAATAACTTTATATGCGCACAATATTAGGAACACATCATTGCTCTTCGATATTTATCGCCCAATAACCGAATATGTCCATCGGAGCATTTTTTCACCCTTTCTTTATACTTTTAAACTATCTATAGCCAATATTACATTTTTATTTAGCTCTTTTATTGAGTATAACTTTTCTCTAATAATTAGTAAGTATATAATTTAGAGATGGCGACGGTCAAAAAATCAAAAGTAAGCGAATTTTGAAATATATAAATGCAATATAATTTAACAACACATCGTATTATTTTTTTAATAACTTAAACTTATTTGTTTTAAAGACTTTCACATCCCCAAGTTGATATGATTACAAGAATCGTCTGCGGTATATGAACGTGGTGCATTCAATCAGTGTACCGAAAACGCATGGGGGCCGCAGTTACTTGTGGTATAAGACACGGTCAAATGTAACGTATGACTAGTTAGTACTTAGTGTTAAATGCCGATCGTGGGACGTACATCGATTTTGAAATGCGTCGCGAGCGATCGTCTCACAGACAACGGTCCCGGGCTCCGTCGCTGGGCTAACTGCCGGCAGCCGCGCTCTACCCCCTCCCCACTGGCCCGCGGCGCGTTTGTTTTGCTGTATTTTCGTTGTTAATCATTCTCCTTGACCTTGTGCGACGACGAGTGGTCCACTGCACACGACTGCGCACCCCTCACCCTGCCACCCCTCCGCTATGCCTGTCTCAACGCACGTGCTACTATTCTCTTTAGCACATCTTTCATTCCATTGTCATCCCTAATGAGTAAGAAACGACTCGCAAGAACGAACACAATAATACTCTCGTTAATAAGTTTTTGTTTGGAATGGAGTTGGTCTTGGAAAATAAATCCATTTATTACGATTTCAAAGAAAGGTATATAGTGTATTAATTTCTTAGAGATAAGCGTTTTCACTTTAATTTAATTTCTCCTTATCAATACCACATACTTTGATATAAAAATATTTTATCGAAGTAAATTTAACAAAACATAGGTAATTTGATTTATATTCTTAAATTATGCTAGATATAGGATTTCACTTTGATATTTTAATCTAATCTAAGACCACTATTCTTTATATTCTTTATTAAATTTATATTATGTCTAAAAAATTTGCAAAGTTTGTGATTTTTCAATGAATGTTCAAGGCGAATATTTCAAAAGGAAGTTAAACTATTAAGGTACATATAAATATTTAATCACCTATTATATTTTTTTAAGTACATTTAATATGTATAAATAATTTTGATATAATATATATGCAAATACCGAACTCATTATTGAAGTTTATAATTAAAATAAAAAATATGTATAAATACAATTAACTTAAATATCATAAAGCTTGTGCTGCCCTCTGTTTAATAATGTGTCAGTTATGATTCACGCCATCCTTTGGAAATCCATTGAACTACACATCACTTGAAAAAAAAGTTATATATTTTATACAAAATTTAATTAAGAAAGTGATATGATTATGATTAAAAACTGTTATAGATATAAATAACACATTATATTACCTTCGTATTTAACTTGCAAAAATTTAATTAATAAAAAAATAACAATAACTTTAAAGAAAAAACGAAGTAAAATTATAGAAAATTTATAAGTATGTAAACAATGTTAAAGAATATTTTGGTATCTTGCTTTATCAAATTTTTAAGCAGAATTTGAACGTATTAGGGTCACAGATTGAACATATCAAAAGTTTATTATTGTACTATATGATTAACCATTTCTAGGTAATGGATAAAGAATAATTATGCCATTCATTTTAATATATCGGTATGATTATTAAAGAAATTGTTAGAGGACGATTCTAACATTTATTTTATTTTACAAAGAGAATATTTATCTTTGATCTAGGACATGTGTATAGCATAAAGTAAAATCCTAAAGCAAGAGAACCTTATAATTGTTGTAGACACTTATGATTTTATGAATAAGTTTTAATCAAATTAATTAAATGTCAATGTTCTTATAAGAAAAATGAAAGCATTTCAGTAAATATTGTCACTATATGGATTATAACAATGTTTAGAATTAATGATATATTTATCTTTTTACATAACTGTAAGTAGAACACTTATAATCAATTTAATTATACAGTTTATTATAGTTTTGATATTACAAAACTATCAGATGATACAAAAAATTAACAGTTTGCATTCAAAGCCTATGCTGTGATGATAACAACTACATTTAAAGCCAAGATTTGTTTAGTATTTATAATTTGGAAAACCATTGGGTTACTCATGATTATAGTTAAAAAAAAAGACTTAGTGTTATGAACATATAAATTGAACTTGCCTGGGTCTCTCGAGGGCTCCATCATTTGACACTAAATATTTAGCGTTTATAACACCACTTTCCTATATTACTACAGTCACAACGATGAACCTGTCAGTAACTAAAAAGGTCGTTGAACTAAATATACCTACTAATGCAAATAAATTCACTTTTAAGACAATATCTTATGAACTCTGAAAGAAACTATATAAACAAAACTTAATTAATGTTAACGGGAAATTGAAAATAAAGTATTTAAGTCTAGACACTCAAATTTCTAGTCCAAAGTATCTAATTTCGCACAGAAATGACAATACCAAAAACATATAGCGTCACGTCAGCCAAACGTCATTGTTTAAGCGCAGAGTCTAGAATTAATTATAAGATTTTCATTAAACCATTTCAATGACATATTTTTATTATAATGTGGAGTTTTATGGAAATAACATAGTTAGGTTGTGGTTTTTAATCACAATATTATAATCAGATTTAAAGTTGGCCGTGATAATTCAAGGATAATATTGCAAGTACAATCTGTATATATAATTTCATTCACACTTTAGAATATTTCGCTTATTTTTATTGATACACAATTACATGTATAAAAAAATATATATTTTTCATACCGCTTTCACACAATATTTAATTTATATACAACTCTAATAAGTGTATCATTTAAAATATAAGATAAATATATACAGATGTATCAAAGTACATATTATAAAGGTAGTTAAATTTTCTACAAATAAGAATAAAACTATTATATGCAGGTAATATATCAAATAAAGAATATCCTTACCTTGAAAACGTTTTATAAAGTGGTCTTCATCTTGTAATTACTCTATATATTATAAGACAGTGATAAACGTTTCGGAATCTATGCTTTAAGTTTGAAAATATGTAATATGTATGCTACAATCTATTCAGTGTTTGTTATCTGTGAAGTGTATATGACTTTCATTAGTTTTACACAAGTTGAGGTAGAGTGACTTGTACTTCTTTTTTATTGTTAAATTATACTTTTTTTTATAAAATATAAAGATATTTTTATTACATAGTAGACAACATAATAATGGAAAATAAAACAGATTTTCAATATCCTCATACATTTGTTTTGCTTGGAGCATCTGGAGATTTAGCTAAAAAGAAAATTTATCCAACTCTTTGGTATTTATTTAGAGATCATTTATTGCCAAAAAATACAAAATTTATCGGATATGCAAGGACTAAGCAGACTGTAGCTGAAGTTAAAGAAAAGACGATAAAGTACATGAAAGTCCGGCCGGGTGAAGAAGAAACTCTTAAAGCTTTCTGGGACGCTAATGACTATGTTGCCGGTTCTTATGATAAAAGAATTGATTATGAACTGCTCAACCAAGAAATAAGTAAGCATGAGAAAGGTCCTCTAGCCAATAGAATATTCTATCTGGCTGTACCTCCAACTGTGTTTGAAGATGTTACGATCAATATACGTAATGCGTGCATAGCATTAAAAGGTTACTCTCGTGTTATCATCGAAAAGCCTTTTGGAAGGGACGATGAAAGTTCGGAAAAATTAAGTGATCATTTGGCCAGATTATTCAAAGAAGAACAGATATACAGAATTGATCATTATCTCGGTAAGGAAATGGTTCAAAACTTAATGACTATTCGTTTTGCCAACCAAATATTTAGTCCATCTTGGAACAGAGAAAACATTGCATCGGTTCTTATATCATTCAAAGAACCATTCGGTACAGAAGGCCGTGGGGGTTACTTTGATTCTTTTGGTATTTTAAGAGATGTAATGCAAAATCACCTATTGCAAATTTTATCTCTTGTTGCTATGGAGAAACCTGTAACATTAAATCCCAATGATATAAGAGATGAAAAGGTGAAAGTACTCAGGCACATAAAGCCAATAGAGTTAAAAGATATTCTAGTTGGGCAATATGTGGGCAATCCCGACGGAAAAGGGGAAGAGACCCAGGGTTACCTTGATGATCCCACTGTTCCCAAAGACTCTGTGACACCCACATATGCCTTGGCTGCCGTTTATATTAACAACTCGAGATGGGAAGGTGTTCCATTTATACTCCGATGTGGTAAAGCTTTGAATGAAAGGAAAGCAGAGGTAAGAATACAGTACAAAGATGTTCCTGGGGACATATTTGAAGGAGAAACCAAAAGAAATGAGCTTGTGATCAGGGTTCAGCCGGGTGAGGCGTTATACTTAAAATTAATGTGTAAGTCGCCCGGTATGAAATTTGACTTGATGGAAACAGAATTGGATTTGACCTATAGCCTGCGTTATAAAGAAACAGATGTTCCTGATGCTTATGAAAGGCTAATCCTTGATGTCTTCACTGGGACACAGATGCACTTTGTAAGGAATGATGAACTGAAGGAGGCATGGCGTATTTTCACCCCGGTTCTGAAGCAACTTGAAAATGAAAGATTTAAACCTGTTCCATATGTTTATGGATCCCGAGGGCCCCCTGAAGCTGATGAGAGATTGGCTCAGTACGACTTCAAATACTCAGGTTCATATAAATGGCAGAAACCTACATTGGGTTGAGGTTTATTTAGTTTTTAATTTATTTATTGGTGAAGGTATGAATTATTTTTAATTTTTAAGCATAATACAATCACAAAAAACTCCTATTAGATATATACTCAGTGTACATTCCGAATCAATGCTTAATGTGGAAATGTTTATATAAAGGTCATTTTAAGGTCAAAGACTTGTTGAGCCTTTATTAAATTGGATGTTTTTGCACAAATATATCATTCCTACTCAATATCAGGGACCAATACAATACAATATTTTTTTATTATTTCTTATTTTATCACACAATATATTCAATAAATGCTTGTTAAGTTTCATTGATTATGCAGAGGTCAATCATTTCACCTTGTATATGAGCACTTGTTATATTGTAAGTTAAAACATGACTCTAGTTATAAATTATCAATGTTTTTTGTTATAAATAATATTCGAATACTAGCATTTGCTTAGTGATGATGATAAGTCACAATTTTTAACAAGTTAGATCATCAATGTAAGAGAAAAATGTACATTTAATAATAATTTAAGAGAAGAAGTAAAAATATGTAAATTCAGATTTTATTATATTTGCTCAATTTAAAACTATTTCCTCTTAACATCACTGGTAAACAGGAATATAATTCTTGTTGTTACCAAAGGCGGGGAATAATCTTTATTGAAATAATACATGCTATTTGAGTGACATATCATTTTAACCACACTATTGTTCACAGTTGTATACACGTTTATAGTTGTTTTATATAGTACATAATAAAATTATGATATTTTTAATGATATTTTTAAATTTAAATTTTGTGATATAAATTTTTACATTCAGAAGTGCCTTTATTACAGCATTTTTTGCTTAGACCTCTTAATAAAAGTTGTTGTATTTAATACAATTAGATAATGTTTATAATTATACATATTTTGTGATTATTTTTATATATTATATTCAATAGGGTTAGAGGGAGTTTTTTTTAACATTTTTACAACACTTTCACAGTATGGATAGGAAATAAACAAATTATTTTGAAATATTTCTGTCTTTTTCTTTTACATTTATAACAATAGTACTCATATATATCCTCCATAAGACAAATAAAAAATGGTATTAAATAATTTTTTATATCCCATTAGTATGATAAAAAATTATAGTCATTATAATTTTATTTATTTTAATAGACAACACTATAATTTATTCAGATTAACTTGAGCCACATGCAATTGTTTGCTTTTATAATTATAAAGTAAAAAATTTAAATGTTTAATTCAAAAATACTGAATTAAAATAATGAAATATATATACATTAGTTATTATATTAAATGGAAATAAAGTTAAAATTAATGCAATAAATATTTAAATTTACGATTTAGTAAATTTTAAACTTGAATTAAACATTTCCTTTCGTTTTCTTGATAAATTTAGATATTTACAACGATATGCCGAAAGGCCAGATAAAATTGGCCAAGTTGTAATTGAAAAGTTATATGGGATATTTTTTTAAGGTTTTACGGAATAATTTTTTCATATTATTTTTATATAAAAAAAATATTAATTAATATTATCTTTTCCTTATTGTTCAATATAAATATTTTCTTTGAAAATCTAAATATTGATATTTTTTTGGCCAATAAAAAAAACCATTCTAAATTTGTCTCAAAAAACAATTGAATTAGTAATTTGAAGGATGTATTTATTTTCATATATAAGGGACAGTTAAAATAATATATATACGATAAATGAACTCTTGCTTACAAGTTATTAAAAAACCTAAAAATAAAACATTTTTATAACTAGTTTTATAGTTATTATCTGTAATCATAAAATGTTATACTACCTAGTACCTACCTACATTAAACGGATTCGAGTGTTGTTGCAAACTATAAGTTGATTAATTTTATATTAAATGCAACTAATTATATATTCTTATCTTTTCAAATCCACTTAGCGAATAACGATACATAGTACCTACTTACTATAGTGAATGTAAACAATTAATCTATTTACCAGTAAAAGGTTTTTTCTTTGAATGTATTATTTTAAATAAATTATTTCCCATAATTTCCTCGTTCCGATTTTATTTTTGCTTTAAAGTTGACTCATAATATTAATGTATTTTTTTTAGAAAAATAGAGAAAATTAAGTAATATTTTTTAATATCATTAAAGGTATAAATATATAAATGAAGGTGTAGTTTAGCTTGGATTCTAGGGTAATAGAAGATTCTAAAAGACATGTCGCTGTTTTTGTGGATCTTGAACAGTTTCAAAAAGTACCTCTTCAGTTATTATGGCCACATCACATACCTATGGGGCGTTTGTAGTATTATGCTCCTAAACCTACGCACAAATAGTATATAGTAGATAATCAAATTCTGAACTATAACTGCCTAATCATAGCATTGGTTATTCAACATATAATTATTTCTAAGTAACTCAAAACACTCGTAAAACATTTCATATATCAATAAATATATTTGAATTTTATGAAAAAGCATATTAAAGTACCCGTTTAATTCGTGCTTTTTGAAATCTTGTATCAGATAGAGAAACGATAACTTCCATACTCTTAATATTATTATATCAAAAACCCCGTATAAATTTAAGGACATGCCATAATTAACATCAGATTAAAAAGTTGTGACAGTTTAAAAAATAATTATTAGTAACTAACAATTGTATGTATTTGATTTAGAAAATCCTAATCTCTAAAATAAGCAATTCATTATTAATTATGTGTGTCATTTCAATTTGAATTGATCAATATACTTAATACATAAGTAAGTACATATATGCAAACTCACTTAAGGGGCTGTCCATTAATCACGTGAGGCTTGAAAGGGGGGGGAGGGGTTTGATAAAAATCACGAAAATAACACAAGGGGGAGGGGGGGGGTGTAGTAAGATATCTCGTGTATTTATTTTTTCGTCTAACCAATGCCGTCTTTAAACTATTTGAGGCCCTGGGCACATTAGGATCATGGGGCCCCTATGACCTTGAGAAAACACTATTTAGTTACAATAGATAAAGAAAGACAAACAAGGTTCTAAATTTATTTTTATTTAGTTACTAACAATAAAAAAAATAGGAAATATAAAAAATAATCTACAAAAGTAACTCACTTAACTTAAAATCCTTAGATTAATTCTATGTTGATTGCAAAGGTACCCTTCTAGATTTAAGACGATCAAAATCGTTAATCACATCTTCAAAATCTATGGTATTGAGAATATCACATTCTACGGACATCAGCGACAAACTAGTTAATCTCTCTTGAAGCATTGTACTTCTTAATTCATTTTTTATTCGTTTCAATTTGGAGATGGAGCGTTCTCCGCTGCAGTAAGTTACCATCATACTTAAAAATATTATCAATGCAATTTCTACGTTAGGAAATGTGTCTTCAATTTTGTTTTGCTTTAATAGATTATATACTTCCTGTACACTGTTAGATGCTTCATTTTCACTCTGAACATTTTTTAAGTATTCTTTTAAATGTTGACATTCTATTTCTAACTCTTTTTCATTTACATTTTCGTGATAGATTTGAGAAAATTCTTTGCATCCTTGTCGTATCTCTTCGGAATTCAGAGTTTTTAAGTGAAAAAATAAACTAAAACGTTGACTGACGGTCTCATATGAACTTTGTCGCTTCGTTCTACGTTGAATCGCTCTTTTCCATTCAATTGGACTGATGGCCAGAGCCATCAAAAAATTCCAGCCGTGAGCTTCTACGTCTTGTTCTTTGAGATAGATGCTTGTAGTCAGATTCTGGGTTATTTTCTTTGGCAGATGATTCGAAATTATCAAATTTATCCCTGAGGTTAGTAATAAAATCATAAAGTGAAGTCAACAAATTGGTTGCAACGTCCAGTGTTATTGTTTCTTTCTGAAGATAATTACTTGTTTTAACCTAAATATACTAATATCGGAAAAACTCATTTTTGGAGTGGAGTACTTATACCCTGTATATTTATTAGTTTGATCTTTCTTTTTGACGGATGTCAAATCTGAAATCGATATAACTTTGCAACGACGAACAATATTTTCTTATTTTAATAATATTAAGAATTGATAATAATCATAAGAATAGACACACAACATAAAAGTACCTGTTAAGGACTCAAGCATTTTCCGAAAGTCTTAAGTGGTTTGTATTGCTTCGAAGTAAAATTTAAATAGAAAAACTGAAAACAAAAACTGAAAAAAATGTTTTTATGTCTAGTGCAATAAAATAGATTGACGAATGAATTTATTTATTTTGAATAGTTTAAAACATACATACAGCCACATATTTAGCCAATACATTTTTTACACCAATAGATATTTTCTGTTTTCCATCACTGACCCATCTGTCAAAAAGTTCAAGCTATGTTGTACAAGGAATAGCTATCCGCATGCGGCAAACTAAAGCTAATATGTTTTTCGGTAATACCTAAATATCGGTTATCATTTGGTAATCTGGAAGGAACTGGGGGGCCCCATTCAATCGCGGGGCCCTGGGCACGTGCCCATAGTGCCCTGTGGGAAAGAGGGGACTGCGTCTAACGCGCCTTTTTTAAACAAATATTAATTTATTATGGTCCTTAATTTCAGAATAAAATAAGAATAAAATGTATTTAAATTAAGATAATATTCAGAAAATTTTAAGATTCGTTGTAGGTACTAAAAATACACGTGATGTTGAGAAGGGGGAGGGGGGTGGTTTTAAACCTCACTACGTATCACCAATGGGGGCGGGGGGGTTAAAAAATGCTAAAAAAAGATCACATGATTAATGGACAACCCCTAAGCAGTCTACTCGCTAATTCTGGAGTGTCATTCTCTCGATAATCGTATTCTTTTAATAATACCTTTTTATCACTTCTAGTCTTTCTATATATTAGATTAGCAATGAAACTGATTGATAAATTACGACACCACCCAGTAAGTACAATAACTGTGGGAAGTGTAGATTATTTTATGATTATTTCCAGTATAGAACAAAAAAAACACGTACGAAATAAGTTTAAGTTTTCCGAAACAATATAGACAAGTACCAACCCAGTTCATAACATCATTATAATTTAAATGTACAGTAACTTATTAGTAGTGTCCCACAAAAAAAACGGGTTTATAAAGATTTAAAATAAAAGTAATTTCCAAAAAATATATTTGGTTCTTTATAAATGCAGCAAAAGAAATTCTTAATTTACGACTTTTACGTCCGCGTATTTTTCATATAATATTATAAATTTAAATTCGATAATAATTTTGTCTGCTTCTAATCAGTTGAGTTATAAATATATTTATAACAATTTTCTCAATCGATTAAAAGAGTGTGATTTAGAAAACAAAACGATTACCTAATTATTACTTGCAAAAAAAAGAGATAACTAAAATTATCAACAAAACAAAGTAAAAGTGTAATGTTACTAGAAAACTATTACGCAATGTTTTTGAATATAATGAAACATATTTTTTTAGAGTCAATAAAACCATGTCTTGTCTGGTGTTACAGCTATTTTGTTCCTATCTTATTGAGCGAGACGTGGTATGATAATTTAAAATGATTTCAGGTAGCTTATCGTTTTATTAAATTACATTTGGTTTGTTTTGCTTAAGAAATGGATGAAACAATATTTTGACTAAGTACCTACTCGGGGCGTTCTTATAATAAAATAATCTTGCAATAAAAAAAAGTTTATAAGGACTTTACTTCAATAAAATATGTTTTTTCATAACAAATATCAAGTTTTTTCATAAAAAATATGGAAAAAAGATTTAATGATTATCTCAGAATGTTTATAGGAACAGTATTCCTCAAATCTTTGCCCCTACTATTCTTGCTTGTTCGAGGAGTCTAACTGGAGTCTAAAGGTGTCTAACTAGTTCGAAGTCTCCTAGTCTTCCCCAAGATGAAAATCTAAGTTAACTATTCCTTTTATTATCTTCATAATCTCTTTGCATATTGTCTCTATTATCTATATGTCGAAGTTTGCAGTAATCAAGACAGAACATAAAGATTTCAGTAATCTAATCTGTCCCTCTATAATCTGATGTATCTTAAAATTATTGATGATATATACAGGGTGACTGGTGAATTAGTATCGATACTTGAGGACGTGTTATTTGACGATCATATATGACAAAATAAAAAGTAATATAACATAAATATTAATAAACTTCTAAGTAAAGTTAACCAAAAGTTATGTAATTAATTACGCATCGTGTGCACACTCTACAGATTAGGTATACACTCACACACACACACGCGCGTCACACGTGCTGATACAACACCACGCCGCCGCACGCGTCCACACTTCGAACACTTGGAACGTGTCAACACTTTATTTATTTATACGGAAATTTTGTCAAAAATTAAGTGCCTATTTTTTTTACATAATTCGAATGAGAATCATGTACCGAGTATTCTCCTTAAATATTGATAGTAATTCACCAGTCACCCTGTATACATATATGATTCGGAAAGACAGTCAATGTTTCTTTGTGTCAGTTCCCTTTCTCAACATGAATTAGGTATAAGAAATTTATAATTCTCTTATGAACCTGGTTAATAAGAGAATTATAAATTTCTGATAGTTCATAAATAAATTGCTAAATAGGTAATTGCTATTAGTTATTACTTAGTAGGTTACTGCTAAAAACTTTCATTACATGAATACGAAATAGATGCTTGGTGACCTTATATTATCTGTATTGTAGATTACGGTGATGTTTTTTTAAGGTAAGGTTTATATACGTTTATTTGCTAATTTTCAAATATAAAGTAATCATTCAAATAACGACAAATCGTTGACCACTGAACTGGCAATCTATTAAGTAGTTCAATTAATTATTATTATAGTAGTTTTACTTCCGAAAATCGAAATACATACGCAATGTATTACTATTAGAGCAAGATCATAGGCCCCCACACCCTGCTTATTTTTTTATGGACAGAAGATTTATATTTAGTATTAGTGTTTACAGTATACGTAAACATCGATATCGTAAATATCGACGGCAAAAAACCGAATCCTAATTACAGTCTGACAAATTATTTTTAACTGTAATATTGAGGTAAGTAGATAGCTTTGTGAATGTATTTTCTAAGTTGCCAGACCATTCCTAGGAGCTATATATCCACCTTGCATCCATCCATACATCTACTTAGTATGCATGACAACTATAAGTGCCTTTCTTATTAGAAACAGTATTCTGTTTTAATAAAATTATCTTGTAACTTGTCCAATGTAAGCTTTTAATGATAATTGAATTATTTATTATAAAAAAAAAACTGTGTCTAAACTATTACAGAATAATGCTAAAGTCATAAGAATTTTTTGATTTATTGCTGACGATATTTAAAGGGTCTGGCAAGAAATTCTAGCCAGAGAAGGGGTATAACAGTATTCATTTGAAATTGTTTGTAATATTTTATACAACATACGTTAAAACAAGACCTAAAACTATAAGTAAAGTGAGTACAATTTTTACCTACCTGTAGCACCTGGTAGGTACCTGAGAATTAATATAAGACATGTACATTTATTGTAGACATGCACATTTATTGTAGACATGTACATTTATTGTAGACACTAATACAAACCTAAGGTAAGTGACCCAAATTATTATATAATTTTCGTTCATCAGAAAACAAGTAAGGTCGGGATCATGGACTATAATATGTTAAAAATTTAATTTTAGTATTTTAAAAGTGTTCTCAAAATGCACAAATCATTGCATGGTCGTAAGTTTTTACTCAGTGGTCAAGACTCATAGAAATCGTTTTTTATCGATTTGTAAACCTATGTCTAACCGTGAAAGATTTCACAAGTATTTATTATAAATATTGTAGAGGATTAAATTCTCTACAACTATTCTATTTTACTTTTGTGTACGTATCTGAACGAGTATGAAAATAAGTTAAATATATCTAAAGGTATTTACCAAATTTTCTAAGACGTTTGACTAAATGACGATAAGATTTATGAGGAAATTTTGGAAGTTATTTTGATATTCATGTAACACTACTGTATACCAGTTGCCTCCCATCTAAATTCCAAATCCTTTTGACGTTAGTAATAGGGCACTCCATTGTACTCAATCCTCTAATTCAAGTGTTCCTCGACACCAAACTAGTTTTATAGGAAAATCAATTGTTGCTGGTGCTGTGTTACTACTGAACATTTTATATGAGTTGATACAAAGAGAAACTATTCATGTTTATGTACATATATGTATATGAACAAAGCTTGCGAAATTACAAATATTCATAACTAGATCACGATATACGATGAAGTAATATTTTGCTGTTTAAATTAAGTCTTTTGTGTATATTATATACCCTTATTCTATGTGTTGTGATCTCGTGGCTTAATCTTTCTAAATAATGTTGTATATTTTGCACCCCTACATAGAAACTTCTTGATACGTCATTTTTTCGAGGGCAAATTGCGTCACTGTTAATTCATCTGATAATTTAATGAGTTTTTTTATATGTGCAATAAAGAATTAAAAATATATATGTCTTTTCTTTTTGTATAAATAATACATATAATATTAATAACATAATAAATCATGTCGTAATTGTATGTAGGAAAGGTTGACATTCATCTAATGTACATAATACAAAAATAAAATATATTTTAATACAACTGGCAACAACAAAAGTCTGTCAGCTGAGTTTAGTTTACGTCGAACTAGGAATGGTGGTGTTATGGTCAAAAAACATTATTGAAATCATTGTGTTGTGCTTTAAACTATACTAGGAAGTAGAAACTTGATGTAATAATGATACCAAGCATAAATTTTCGTAAAGAAAAATAAATCCCTTGATGAAACCATGATCATCGAATAATTACGAGTTGTGTTTGTGTAAGTATTGTATCTTTGTTGTTTAAATGCAAAAAACACCACGTTTGGTTTTGTTGGTCGAACCATACAATTAAATAGAATGCATTTTGACCTATTTAGTTTCTCGAGGCATATATTATAGTATGTAGTTAAATGTATCTATGTATAATCGATTCAATTGTTCAACACTTGTGACGTATGTGTTTATTTTGGGCAGTTAATAAATTTTGCGTGTTAATAAACAGAAAATATCTGTAGTTTGATATTAATTTACCGTAAATGTTTTATTAATATAAATTAACTTTCTTTTATTATATAAGAGACCATCTGATCATTAATATTAAATGTCTTAGGATACTAAATCGAAATTATAAAAAAATTATAACATTCTATAGAAATAGATTTATCTGTAACAAGCATATTATTTTAAAAGTAAAATTTTTATTTTATTTCTTTGTTACTTTGAATTTTGGTAAACAATACATGCTATTCAAATACCGTACTTAAAAAAACAGCTAAAATAAATAATTTTTTTTTTCAGTCTACAAGAACATTAAAAAAATATTGATGTCATTTATAGGAAGTTGATAATAAAAAATAAAATCATGTTGTATGTATTCCACGTTGATGCCGGTCAAATGACCACCTATGACATGGAGCTCACTTTACAAAGGTATTTATTGTTTAATTTTATTCTCTCTTTATATAAGCAAAATATAATTTTATTATTCCATCTTATACATTTATATGTTTCTTATTGTAGTCCTACTTATATCCTTTCTCAGTATAATTTTGTGCTAAATCTGTATTATTGAATATCAGACATACTTAATAATTACAGTAAGTTTATTATATGTATAATTATATTTCAGTGTTGCAAGCTTAAAAGCGGCTATAGAGAGAAAGACGAAAATACCGTCATCCTCTCTAGTGCTTCTCATAAGTGGAGGAGAGGTACTGCAGTCAGATCACATGGTATCCTCATATAGTGCAGGGACAGATTCTAACCCTATATATATGTTTAGTAAACCATCTGTTAAGGAAAGCCATTTGAAACAGTCCAGTAAGAATTATATATTTAACCTTAAGAAGATCTTTGTTTGCAGACTATGTTAAGTGCACTTGTTTAACTATAATTTTTCCTGTTTTAGTGTGTGATTTGAGTCCGATAGTTGAGCTCAGTACCGGCGAATTTCGTAGTGATATTCGGAGTGCCTTCGATGGCAAATCAGTGGCAGAATTAAAGAATGCCGTAGAATTATGTTGTTCACTCCCACCCAATATACACACTGTGATATCTTATGCGACATTGGCCCAGCAGTTTGGTGATTTAGCTCATGAAGTTTCAAGGAGTTGTGATCAGTTGGTCCATGAACAGCATTTACAGCATCAGGTTATTACAGAACTTATTTTTGATGAATCACTGGTCATAATTTATTGAATTGCTAAAATTTCCTTCATAAGTACATTGTTTATTTCCAATAGACATGATTGTAACTTATAAGACAAATATTCAATAGACACAGGGTTTATTGTGCTCAAAAGATATATTTAAATTTGTTAGATAATAGTGTTGTAGTTTGGTTTAGAAGCTGATAATGGAATTAAGTAAATGTTGATAAATATATATAATGTTATAACAGGGTTGGTCAGCTGTTATTGCTAATTTAGAGGACATATTCAATGAATTCTGTGAGAGGTCGAGAAGTTTCAAAGAGTCATTCAGGAAACATAGGCTAAAAAAGGAAGAGTATCATGAGAAATTAAACACGTAAGCATAACATATAACAACTTTTTATTGTAAAATTATTATAATCTTTGAATTCAAAAATTCATTTTTCAGATTGAATGAAGTATTGGAGTCATTAGGAAAAATACCAATTTTGCCTGCTCTTCAATTAAACGCAGAGGCTCATAGGTTTTCCGCTTTTGATGTATTTGAAGAAACTGACTTTGAAGGTCATCATTATGGAGCCAAGGAGACTTTGGATAGCAGCTCGGAGAGAACTGCAGATTTTGGAGTGGGAGTTTTTAAGTTATCTGAGGAAGATGGCAAGTATACAATGTTTTTTTACTATAGTATAACATATATAAAATTTTTCTGAAGGGTGGTGCATTATTAAGTTAATTTAATTATTTTGTTTTTGACAGATTTTTTTAGGATATGGTTAATATTTACTCAAGTACCATTTTGATATAAATTATTGGTCCTTTAGGTTTGTTCTGATATTGTATTTTTATGTTACATTAATTTTGTATACATATTTCATTTCCTGTATTACTTTTGAGACATTGTTACAATAATTCTAAGAAACTTTAACCTGTTTAATAAACTCGAAATATACTATTAACATAAAACTGATCCGTCCTTTGTTATTTAAAATTTATGCAAATAGAATCACTTAATTCAGAATGGAAATATTTAACCAGATATATTTAATTTTGGTTAAACTAAAACATGTTTTGTTATTTATCCTAATGACAGGGACAATATAGAAAATGATTCAAATATAATTTTTGTTTTATTTAAAAACAAGACATTATTTTAAATAAAAATAAAAATAATATGTTCTATTTTATTAACTACTTTCTTATATTTAAGTAACATAGCAAAGAAATTAAGAGAATGACAATAAAATAACATGTTACAGTATTTGAGCAACCATCAACAAGTAATGAGGGGGCCTCAGATGAGGCCCCTGATAAAATGACAGAGGGGGCCTCTTCCTCTGCTCAGTCAGAGGGCGCCACATTCAAGGCCAATGAAGAACATACATTGTTACACTGGATCCTGGCTCAAGGGAACCAGGCGTCACTTCAGGACATATTGGATTACTGTCAGAAGGGACTCGCACTGGTATGATGTTATTTAGACTTTTGTTTGATTTTTTTGCTTTGTTGTTAAACAAAAGTAAATATTAGAAAATAAATCGTTAGTAATTTGTAACCAATTAATGTTCATTTTCCTGTTTGTAATGTGAAATGTATTGTTCGTTATACATTAGTTGTAATGTGTTATCGACAATCGCCAACATTAATTAGAGAATGTTTAAGTAATTAACTTTAATTATATTTAATGTTACAATCAATTTATTTGATAATTATATAGTTGTTGCTAAATCTTAATTTGCATATATTCATATTATGAATAGGCCATTGATCTGTACGATGCTTATCGATGTATGTTTCGGGGTTAAGTATGGAGATTAAAAGCCGATCACGTGTTCACGTCGTGTTTAGATTATTCTCTTATAGTTTATATAAATACAATTAAGTCAAATTATCATGGCCCCCATGAAGATGATTTATCAAAAAATATACTTTGAGTTTATTAATGAAAAAAATATAAATAAAAAGTATTAAATACAAAAAAGTTGCGATTGTTACATCGCATATAATAACATTTAAATTTGTTTTTGTAATTGCTAACATTATTTAGAGATTAGAGCTCTTAGACAGACAAACTTATTTAATATATATATTTCGTATCGTATTTCTTAGAAAATTTTAATCTGATTGTAAGGATTTGTCCTTATTTTTCAATATTTATGGTTACAAGTCCAGCCGCAATTGGATTAAAGTTAAGCAAAGCTGTAAAATATGAGACAAAAGCCAGTAACGGGATTATCATTTCACTTAAAGCTATTGTTTGTTCTCGTTAAAGTCGCCTTGAGCAGAGTCGAATTGTTTCATGCAACCATAGATAGAATTAGTAGACTTAAAAAAATGGTTTATAAAATGCATAAAATGGTATTGTATTAGATTCAATATTAATATATATATATATATATATATATATATATATATATATATATATATATATATATATATATATATATATATATATATATATATATATAATATAACATATCATCAGATCGATGCAGAGCCTTTGAAGGAGAGGGAGGCAGAGTTATACAATATCTTGGAGTACGCTAATGTTCACGGCTTGAAACAAATCAAAGGCATCGAGGATAGATTGTACGCGCTGGAACAATTGCTGAGTGATGTCAAGAAGAAGGAGAACGAACAGCACGTGGTCGCCGCTTCGCTTATACAGGTGGAGTAAAGAATAATGATTAGATCACTGCCAAGGTCATACATAGTTTCGTAACTGGTTATAAAGTAGCAGCTTAAAAGTTCTTCATAGTACTTCTGAAGTGCTGTAACTGCCATCTATATTTTAACCCAGTGTTTTTTTTCAATCTGTGGGTCAAACTTACTCGGGGGGACGCCGGCAAAAAGAAAAAAGTAAAGTTTGTAAATTATAATAAAAACTAAATTTTAATGAGAAGGATGGGCTTGTTTATTTTTGAAAAGCATGTCAGGTACTATTTCTGAAAAATAAACTATGAAATCACCTTGTAATTGAAATTAATTTCTCTTTTTTGGTTTTGAAATCCACTATTGCAGAGAGTGTTTTTAACTTTAACTTAGCCATTTAATAATTTCCCTACCCTTCTATCTCACAAGGGGTCGCGAAAATTTTTCAACCCGGTAAGGTGTCGGGATATCAAAAAGAGAAAAACACTGCTATAACCAATTTGATTTTATTAAGGTTTTGTAAGGTTATCAGAATTGTAGTTTTACTGATGATATTTGTTGTATCAGCACCGGGAACGTTTAAATTCCGGTTGTGACCCGTCCGTGTTGCCGACCTTGTTGGAGTCAAACCAATGTCAGTTGGGGAGACTGTTGAAGGGTCACGAACTGCTGGTCGACATTAGACGGAGGATCATGAAGTCCAAGGACGAACTGTCCAGGATACTGAAGGCGAGATTAGAGTGAGTTACAATAGTAGTAGTTCAATAAAATCACTGATATATATAAATGTGTTTTAAAAGTCTTTGTTCTGTCAGATTAAAAAAGTGTAAGTTACATATGAGATTTTAATTAATCGGAAGTATCTGCGCTTATTGCCATTCATAAATATAGTTAATCAAAAACCTTCACATCTATAATATTACAAAGATTAGTCGTATATATTTCTTATGTATATGTATATTATTAGTTGAATGCATTTATATGGTGTCAATTAAAAAATACAATCAAGTATATTATATAGCTTATGTTACATAATATAGCTTTGTATTATATATTAATATAAGTGTATGTATGTATGTCCCCAGAGCCGTGTTGGTGATAGAGAACTCGATGTCGGTCCAAGACGCGCACGCGATGTTATCGTTCCAGTGTTTCAATCGCCTCGCTCGTTACTTCGGTATAGTTGCTCAGCTGCATCGAGCTCCGGCCGTGTTCGTGAGGGCGGTCCACGAGGTCGCCAGGAGGAGGACCTTCTCACAACACCATCTACAGGTACACACAAAGACGTAAACAACATACGAGCATTACACCCACACACACATACACACACACACACACACACACACACACATACAGGCGTACCCAACATAAGAGCTTTACTCACACTCGCAACCTAACACCTGCTTATGAAATATATTATAGTGTAGCAATACCCAATTAAACTTGCTTTTGCTGAGCGTAATTTATCTTTTATCAATCTAAGTATATAAACTCCTTAAATATATAGAACAATCATTGAAACTTGTATTTATATGAAAAGCTCCTTAAGTAGCTTGTATTATACTGAAAATCTTAAACATGAAATGCTCATCAAAAAATTGTTACGGAAATTATATATATATATAACTATTAGTGATGTATAGAGTTGCTCGAATTACAATATATACTATTATAGTCAGTTTAAAATCTTATAATAATGTTATTTTGTTTTTTATTCCAGTGGGCTACGGACCTAGCAAGTAAGCTGATAAAGATTCACGAAGAAGAGATCAGCAGGCGTCAGGAGTTCAACTCCCACTTCGAAGATCACTTCCTCAAGAGCTTGTTCCCCGGCATGACAGATCTGCCTCCGCCCTTCGCTACACAGGCGCCATCTATATACGACTCACGTCTGCCAGAACTCACCGATACAGACGTAGAGTATATATCAGAAGCTCTACCCGACTGGACTAGTGATGTACCCAAATATGACATGGAATCTACCGTTAAATTCTTCCAGCAAAGGTAATAATTTAACTTTATTATTAACTAGCTGCGCCCCGCGGTGTTACCCGCGGATTTCCGGGATTTTCGGGATTTCCGGGATGTAAAGTAGCCTATATGTTATTCCTGGACGTCAGCTTCCTGTATACAAAATTTTATCAAAATCGGTTCAGCCATTTGAGCGTGAAGAAGTAACAAACATACACACACACTCAGAAACTTTCGCAATTATAATATTCGTTAGATATATATTGTGATAGTATATGTTAAATGAGAATTCTTTTCAGGCTCAATACATCCGACCATGAAGATAAAGACGCCGATGTTCAGGTTGATTTTGATAAGTATGTTTTTGTACTTACAGATTTAATTATTATTAAATATAACATTTGTATGTCACAAATTAATATAAATTTTTACCTTATACATATTTATGTATTTTCAGAGATTTTGAATCAGAAACCGACACGGATTTTGAGAAGCTGAGTCGTCAGAGCGAAAAGCGGAAGAATGATATATCAACGAGCTGCGTTCCTCACACGATGGCCGTCTCTACAGTGACAGAGGTTGGAACTCTACCAGTTATACAAGAAAGCCCTAGAGTGGAGTTCCTTAACTCTGAATTTTATATAGAAGAGTCTCTACCGTCCAGTTTGGAATGGGGCCGGGATGAACGACAGGTGCATATGTAAATAATAACACCGCTCATATAAGATACTCCTGTTACAAGAAAAATACTAATACAAATAACATTAGGTTTGGGAGAATTATATTAAATTGTATTTACCGATGATCTTATACGAGTGGTGACTAGTTATTTTTGTTGCCCCTGTCTTCGCCGGCCCCATAGTGATATATATTTTAATTTTATTACACCGTTTCGTTTTCCGTTATCGCTTTGTTCTGTAGTGCATTTCCATAATATACAGTATGTAGTAATTGAATAATAATTTGTAGGACAATATGGATACCCACAAAATCAACATGGAGAAATTGCAAGATCTGTTCGTGAAGTTGTTTAATGTGTGTAAAATAAATATCGTGTTGATAAAAGACGAGCTTACTAAGTTAAAGAGCGAAGTGGACGGGCAAAAGAAATTCATAAACACGAAATATATAGAGATTACCGAGGCCTGGGAAAAGGTAAATGAACATGCTGAAACAAGGTTCCGCGAACAAACCCAGAGGCTAACGGTAGATCATGAATTAGAATTGAGTGATATGAAGGCGGCGCTCAATGAAAAGGATGACGTCATCAGCAACCTGAAGAGAGAGACGGAAGATATGAAAATAGAACACCAGAAAGAGATGGAGAGATTAGACAAAGAGCATAAGAGTACTAAGGATTTGTTAGATGAAACTCGGAAAGAGATAAAAGCTTTTGAGAAGAAATTAGAGGAAGCTGAGGTTCAGAAACAAAAAGATATTAAGGAGATGCAGGAGAAGATGCACCTTGAATATAAAGCGGAGATAGAATCGCTACGGTCGAGGTAAACATATATGAACACATTTTAAATTATATAATATGTACATATATGATTTAATACGAAATGTTTGTTTTAATTTCAGGTTCCGTCTCGTGGCTCTAACGAACAACATGGACAGGTCGCCGTCTGAGTCCAGTCTGGAGAAAATTGAGAGAACAGATGTCATAGAAATAGTCAGCCACAACGCTATACTGATGCAGACCAAACAGAACGCTGAGGTGGAGAAGGAAGAAGCGGTCAAGGAGGCCGTGGAGAAATGTAAGGCGGAGTGGGAACAGAAGCTTAACGCTGAGATATGTCTGCTTAAAGCCAAGTATGAAGCTGAGAAACAGGTGAGGATCATATAAAACTGATATTTCTATATATAAGATAAAGATAAGATAAGATAAATATACTTTATTTTACACCGAAACAAAAAATACAAGAAGCAACACTTATATCACTTTTATGTTTTCCTGAGAACATTTGTTATATATCCAGAATTAATGGAACTACATTTCCAGTGAATATAGAATTTGGCTCTAATTAATAGCAAAATTATCTATTTGATCTGAATTTTTGTACGTTTTCTATAATTGATAGTGTTATTTATAATGGTTGTGTATAATAGGTGACAATAAACGACGTGACCCGTCGTCTTCTGTCAGAGAAGGATCGTCAGCTGGAACTGCTGCGTGAACGCGAGCAGACCCTCGTCCGTGAGTGCTGCAAGTACAGGGACACTATTCAACAACTCACTGACCCAGAGACCAACGACTATGACAGTCTCTTGAAGACTCAGGTACATTTTCTTTGTACAAACCACTCTAACAAGAGCCCTCCTAAATAAAAGTTCAAAAATAGTTCATAATAATTCATAGTATGTTTATATCTTTGTCACCAATTTATATGACTATTGTATTCCTAAAATAAAATTCTGTTCCGTAGATTTAAATTGAACTAACAGACATATATACGTCTATCCTCACAATTTTCTATTTTGATTGTTAGTTGATGTCGACAATAAAGAAAAATTCATAATGATTCTTGACTGTCGTTGGTAGTGAATGAAAAAGTTTTAATTGTATTTTTGATATTGTTGTTCTTCTTATATTTAACAAATTTATCTAATATCTTAAATGTTAAAAATACATTTCCAATCTTTAAATTTCAGTTTGCAACATTCGAAAACGAAAAGGCTGTGTTATTGCAACAAGTTGCAAACTTGAAGGCGGAGTTAGATAAGAAAACTGAGGAGGACAAGAAGAGGGAGGAGGATAGTGACGGGAGGTGAGAGATATACAGGGGGAGGGGAGAGATGTTCAATATAATGAGATCTAAGATTAGTTTCATTTAGATATTCAATATAATTAGTACTAGGAAGAAGACAATAAATGACTTACAACAGAATTGATAACAATTTTAAACATTAATGACTAACAGAGATCTTTTATTATATCACCCTGTCGTCATCAGCCTAACAGAAGCCCATTGCTGAGCAAGGCCTCTTTCTCACTTGGAGAAGGTTTGAGCATTAATCACCACGCTTGCTCAAGACGGGTTGGTGATTTCAAACTTATAATTGTGAAACTATAAGTCCAGGTTTCCTCACGATGTTTTCCTTCGACGTATGTCAGTGATGTCTAAAATCTAAATACTCTCAGAAAGTAGATATAACTCCGAAAAATCACATTGGTACATGCCAGGTTTGAACCCGCGCCCTCGGCAACGAGAAGCGGGCCCCTTAACCACTAGGCCACCACTGACCAATATCACCCTGTATCAATCGTTATATATATACACTACAGTGTGTTCATATTTCGTGCAGGTCGTCTCCTCGTCGTGATATCCGTCGTCGCAGTCACACACCCCTGGGTCTGTCTCCGGGCGCGCTGACCCTCGCGCTGGGTCAGTACCCGCAAGGTCACACCGTGCTGGTCATGTGGGACCCTGCGCATCTCAACTATACCGTACTACAGGTTATATTATATGTATTAAGTCTTAGAAGATATATGGTTTTATAGGATTTTAAGGTCACTTATACCGTGTCTTCTTTATAGCAGAATTTTTGGTACAATACATTTTTTTAAAGATACCAAAGAATTATATTACCAAGACAATTAGTATCGATAGTTTGCAAGTCCTATAATGTAATCTCTCGAGTACAATACCGATAGAATACTTGTAGTTATAATTTAATATGAATGAACATTAACAATAAAATATTATATTTCCAGGAGGCGTCCATAATGCACTTCGTCCACAGTGACTGTCTACCGTCGTTAGACCTCAGTATACACGTCAAGAACGAGAGTGAGAGACGTCTATACGCTGTGGCCACCGTGGAGTCTAAAGAATACTGCTATGCTAAAAGGGTAACGTTGTATTAATTTCTTTGATAATTTTATCTCAATTACACTAAAGGACTCATTTTTTTTAAGTATATCTCCTGTCATAATATAATACCAATGAAAATTCTGATCTAAATTTTTCGTAAAAATGATCATATTAATTATCTACCCTTATTTGTTATAAGTAGAAAGAAGTAAGGAAAAACTTCCGAGCAGTAACTTAACCAAATCGCTAACTAATGTGGCATTACGTATATCGTTTTCAAAGTAATTTAGCAACGTCCTAGCTTAGTTTCGAACCCTGAACTCACTCGCGTTAAATAGATCATGAGAACGCCATTAAGACAAATACGTCTAGACATAGCTGGCGAAAGTACTTAAGATTATTTTTCATATGATATATCTTCTAACCACAGACTTGTGCTAGCTAGTATTAGTAGCGCGAGATTTTTCGTCTTTTTCTTATTGGCAAAAAATACTCAAGTAAAATATAAATTAATTAATCTTCCCTTATTAATGCCTCATCTGGAGTATAAATTGCTTTAGTAAACAGGGCAATTGTTTACTCAGAAAGTTCAGCAAACGATTACTCTTAAATTAAATCCTCTAACTATCACCTTGGAGATTTCTGGCAATTATTCTTGTTTTTGGGTAGTTATATTGTTTTACTTATAGGTATAATTCTTTTGAAAATATTTAAATCTTAACACCTTTTTTCTAATGTTTACTTATAATATAGCATAGAAGAAAAATACACACAAAACGACTTCGGCCTATAGGTTAACTTTTTTTTAATCTTTATATGTATTTATATGTACTTAGTATATTGTATTGTTTCAGGGTGTGAATAGATATCACATGCCGCGTGGATCTCGTTTCTACAGAGTCCACGTGAAGCCTCTCAAGCCGCCGCTACCTCCGCCAGCCTGCTGTGATCACAAACACAAGCCTGGTATGGACACAAACACACACACACAGGGAAATGCTTATAATTTTTTTATTCATTAATTTTAGTGGTATAAAACAGTATGCGAATGACTACATATAAACTGTTTTCACATATCACATAGTTTATCGCTTGACACAGCTCTCTATGACCCGAACCAGCTTTTAATATTTAATAATATTTTAGTGTTTGTGTAAGTGTTGTGAGCTTTGTAGTTGTAACGTTCATATAATGAACCAAGTACATGTAGATAAAGACACCACTGTAGTACAGCTTTAAATATTGACGTACCCACATATTGTTCACTGTAACTGACTGACTGATTTTGATTTTCTATCGCTTTAATACATGTATGAGTGCTGTTTCTTATCCCCTCCCCAATCATTCATCAGTCACTTTATACCACGTCTATATTACGAGTGACGTCACCAGCTTCTCATTGCAGATGCAATGAATGCCAGTTTGCTGCCGGTGTTCAATCGCCCTCTCAGGAAATGGTTGACCAACGTGCATGCAGGTCTTAGATATCATTTATGTGCTATCGTTGCTTATTACTTGAGTTATATTTGCATGACGTCATATTTAGTAGTGTGTATATTGTATTGATATATGTTTACAGATATGCAGAAGTCCATCGATACAAGTCAGTCGTCTAGTTCTAATGCGGATAAGTCCAGTGTGGAGGTTGCCACTGCTACGCTCATTAATTTGGAGTCTCCTGTCTCTGCTGGAGAGCCTCCCGTGCCCATGATAGCGCCCGAAGACCAACTCGACTCCATAGAGACGGAACACAAACATAAGATGCAACTGTCTACAACTAGTGCGGTGTACGTGCATATATAATACTAGTTTTTGCTCGCAACTTCGCCTGCGTTAGTTTCAGAATTAGAATTAGAAATGTATATCTCGATGAACGCTATTCCTCCTTAACAAGTTAAGAAAATTTTGGATTGCATAAATTTTTTGGTTTTTCTTTTTAAATCGGATTTACAGTATCCTATGTCCTAATACTTGTTCTAAGCTATCTCTCCACCAATTTCGAGCTAAACCCGTACAGCCTTGAGTTATAAATATTATAACTAACACGACATTCTTTTATATATAAAGACAGAATAGTAATGTGATGTAAATGCCAATATATCTGTATATAACGTTACAGTTCCGAGATGGACCTCAGCGTGGGTCGTGTGGCGGGGGCGGATGCTCCAGGCGCGGAGCCCGTGGAGCTGACTGTGAGCGCCGTGTCGGTGGTGGCGAGGGGGTCCGCGCCGCCCGGCTCGGAACTGGCCGAGGAGGCCGCGCCCTGACATACGGACACCACGCAAGCCCCTCAGGATTAGGAGCCTGGGCGACCGGGGGCCTCACTCATTATATTGTGATATATACACCCAACAGTTTGCGGCCCCTCGGTGGTAGAAGCCCGGGGCGAGGGCCCCATATTGGAACTTGTGATACGTACAGACAACAGTGTGAAGCCCCTCGATGTTAGAAGCCCGGGGCGAGGGCCCCATATTGGAACTTGTGATACGTACAGTGTGATACAACCTGGTTGATGACGTCAGCGTACTGTGCAATGCTAGTAATATGAACACTCAGCCTCGTGTGTGTGTCGTGACGTCACCAAGGCTCGTGACGTCACTCGTACTAGTGCTGTACTATGTTTTTAATAAAAATGTTTTGTGATATCTAGCTGTTCGGAGCTATGTTATAAATATTAATGTATTGTGTATGTAATGCGAGCGTTGATTATATATTTTGTAACGTTTATCTATATATATATATATATATTATTATTGTAATAATATGTGTTTGTTCGTTTGTATGTTTTCGGTGTCGGAGGTTAATATTTTCGTTTAATACACTACGTATCATTAACAATATCAAAATTCCTCCACCTAATGAATGTCTTCCATGAGTTTGATGTCACATGGAACATTGTTTTTTATCTTTACATTTATCTTTATCTTTTATCATATAATTGGATATTTCCATAAATCTGTTTGTAATATTAGATATAGTGATGGCTAACGGCGTCGTGTTATATTTCTGTCGAAGCTTCTTTTGTTTTTGTTTATAAACACTTAGTACAAATTATTTTAGTCTGTCTGAGAGCTTTATATTTTTTTTCGCGTTTAGTTTCAACTGTTTTATTTTTTCGCTTTCTCCTAGATCTATAGATAGCGTCATAATAAATATTTATCGAGAAGTTATAAAAGTATATTAATATATTAAGGAGTTATATTATCAGTGATTTTCGTCATATTATAGCACAAACAGATTACTATTCGAGCTGAAATTATTTGTTCAGTCTGTTCGTGGTAACTTCGTACTGTAAGTTTGTGAGTAAAGTTCTTATAGTGCATGTCTTAAACTATAAATAATTAGCGTGTCTATTCTTATAACTAAGTCATAGTTGTTACTCTGTACACCTACTGTCTATAGCTCATAGTCTCCTGGATTGAAACGCTTTATTAAAGATCTCGCTTCAACTTGAACATTTCTAACTGTAAACTTACTACGAGTTTATATAAAACTGAATACGTATAGTTTGAAAGTTTATTAAACATTAGTAACTGTTCAATTTAGTTCTATATAAACTCTAGTATCAAGTTAAACACATGTAGTACGTCGCACTAGATCTATTTATCTCAAATAATACGAATTTTTTATACAATAATGAATAATAATAAATAATAATTTTAATGAATTTATAATTAATGCACAGGATGATTTCGTCCGTCGTTATCTTAGCCGTCGTTAGTGCGGATCGATCGCTTCCTGACATTTATTTGTGGCCTTATATTTGGTGCCCGAGCGGCGCCGCGTGTTGAAGCTTGTATGTACGTCTGTGACCGCTGTGATAGTGCGCGCTGTGCTAAACTCACTCTCGTTATGAACATTACTGATTAGGGCCTATCACTAAGGACCGTAAATCGATCACAACTTTGAATTTGTTTTATTGAATAAGTCTCGTGTTGCGAGTATGAAGATATCTCTCGGAGTTATGTCCAATGTAACAACGATGTATGTATGTTACAGACATGTGTTAATGATTTTTTTATTATAATATTAACGTTTTTTGTTTAATATCAGTAGATATTAACAAACAGACGTCTGTATCATCTGAGCGGTGATGAACACCCTGCATAATATATCAGTGGTCTGTGAAACGATCGCGCTATGGAATATTTTGTAGTGACCAATTTTATCGTTAGTAATGAATAAACAAACAAAAAAAAATGTAAAATTGACAATTTTAATGTAATTTTTATATACAAATAAATAGACGATTTTATAAAAAAAACGTTGTTTTATTTCTTCGTCTCCTCGAACATTCTTAACAATAATCTATGTAGAACTTAACTTAAAGGAACAAATCACATTTCGTTTAAAACAAGGATCTTACATCGACTTTACAAATATAACAGTTCTATATATTTACAACAACTAACATTATGTATATTATAAGAGCGTGTTGAAGGTGTTCACATTCAGTGAGTGTACGTCGTAGTAGTCCTTGCTCTCAGGCTGCTGGTTGGTGAACGCGCAGTCGGAGTAGTTCCATGTGTGGACCTCCATATTGCTAGCTTCACAGTCCTGGCCGTACCTGAAGTATCTCTGCCCTTGACTGTCCCCTGGTGAAGATTCCCTCATATGCTCCATCGGATAGTACTGAGCCTCCTCTGGGTAGTAATTCTGATGTATGTAGTTCTGGTCGCAGTAAGTCTCCGTGTGTTGGTAGTTATTGAACAGCTCGGGGGACGGCGTGTCGCTTGATTCCGAGCCAGCTGGTCTCTGCCACTCCAGCCAGTATGCATCATCAGGTCGAGACGCGTCGTTCGTGAGGTCCGCGAACGTCGGTGGAGATTCCAATGTACTATCTTCAAGAGGAAAGTCCAAACGAATCGGTTGATCTAATTGAAATATCTCCTCTGGATGGAAAATGTCGTCCGCTGGTAAGGAGGTCGGGTCGTATGTGTGTGAGGGAGCCGCTGGTTGTATGGGAGGTATGTACGCGGTGTATGACTGGTGCTCGCTGGGGGTCCACGCGGCCGCCGCGTAGGGCTCCGTCGCTGACTCGGAGCGCCACCGACAGTTACATTCGAAGGGACCGCACGTACAGGTTAGAGCTGGGGATAGAGAATTAAATTACAGACACGATAAAATATAAACGTTTAAGCTTTTCTTAATAAACGTTTCTACACAACTCACATCGTTGATTGTCAGGTATGAGAGGCGGCGGCGGCGCGTGTATGTTCTTCTGTATCATCTGCTTGTCTTGTTTGACTGTGAGTATCTTATCAGCTATAGCGGCCTCTCTAGCCAGTAGTAGCGCCAGCCCGCGGACCCGTCTGCCCGCGCCGAGTGACCTCCGTACTTCACTAGCTCCTTTGGCTTCGGGTCGAGGATGATCGTGAGAACCCTTGGCTTGGAAGAATATCGCGTGTTCCGTGTGCCGCCAGAAGTGTGTGACCGGGTACCCGCAGTGTCCTCTACACGGTTGGACCTCCAGCCGGCCGCCGTTACACACGCGGTTGGGACACGGCTTGCCTGGAAACACATATACTGTTATAATTCGGGTTTTATAATTGGCTGTAGTCTATATTTATTAAGTTATTATTATAAACTTCATTAATGTCACTCAATTAAACTATATTTGAATGCATTATTAAAATTGAACAAACTGTTAAAGTTGTGTAATTGTACTAATCTAGGTTCGTTTAATATTTAGGTACATTTTATTGTTTTTTTTATTTCTATCGCGTAATAACTAATCACTTTTTATTATTTATTTATTACCAATTTTTATAATAAAGAGATCTATTTCTTATCAATATTACTTATAAGTATTCAATTTGAAAAATAATTCTTTCTAGAGTCCTGTCAGTTATAGTAATACAGCGTAGGTAGGTAATTTAATTCTTGCATATACCTACTGCTGTGGAATGAAACGTTCTTTGGCTTTCTTTAAAGTTATTTCATAAACGGTTTAGTTGTTTTTGTTTATTTCTCAGTAAAATCATCACTAACCATGTACATTCTTCTCCTAACTTATTTCACGTATTCTTCTATAAAAACTGATTTAGCTCAAATTATTTAACTATTTTTTATCTTCCTGTTATTGTTTTCAAAATTTCGGTTGGTGTTAAAATGCTCGCATATTAAAAAATAATAAAAATATAATTAATATGTAATAGGTAGGTAGGTATATTTACTTATTAAGTATCTACCTAATAGGTAGGTATTATGATCAAGCAACGATCCACTAGTACGGTAGTAGGCAGGTATATTTATCAATGTAGTGCGTATGTATGTGTGCGTGTTTGTGTTCGCGTGTGTGTGTGTGCACCTTGTTGTTTCTTCCTCGCCTTATCACAGATGGCCGGTCGCAAGTGTACTCTACTCCCGTCAGGCAGGCGGCACCTGGCAGAGCACACCAGTACTCCGAGGCAGCTCTTCTTTAGGATGTGTACGTTGTGGTTGTTCGTGTTCCTCATCGCCCAGCCCGAGGAGTGTCTCCGGGCTTCCTCACATCCGGGGCCGTACACTCGCCTCACGTGTCCGTCGCACCACTCACTGAAGGTGTCGAAGCTGCTCACTCGCGGTACGGACGCGTCGTTGATGTCCCACTCGGGGCTCGAGGGGGCTTCGGACATGTCGGACAGACTGGATCTAGTACAAGGAAACACGGGCATAAGACAGACATACACTTACAACCACCATACTATATGTACATAGGTACTAGGCAGTAACTAGCGCAGAAATGAGCAGACTAGTATCTAGTTTTATATCAATGGTAGCTATATACTTATATACTTTGTTAAACAATAAATAGTTAGATTTATTTGTATGCACATTTGTTCATTTTATTTTCAGAGCATTTTTCAGGGGCGCAGTTTCTAAAGCTCGCACCGGGTGCATAAAAGGCTAGTTACAACACTGGGTACTATGTACAATAATAAGATCGAAGATTTTTGCAAGTATTCATTTAAATGAAACTAATATTTTCGGACTTATAACGGATTTTTTTTCTTCCGTAACCGTGATAACGGGCAGACGAGATGTCTGTGAAGTAGCCAAAACGTCGGGAGTATGTTGTTTATAACTTTATAATTAGTCAAAAATAAAAACGCGAAGTACTTAAATCCGATATTAGTTTCATTTAAACTATATACACTAGTGACTAGTCTATACTAATCTTCTCGATATAAGAGGAGGCCTTTGCTCAGCAGTGGGCTCTGTTAGGCTGATGATAATGATGATGATGTATACTAGGTCATCAATATCCTACCGATAACAAGCACCATACATACATACATATTATATACATTAACTAATTGTATATATATGTACGTTAATAGTTAAGTTAAACATTGTTTGAATTAAATTAATTGTACGTGCGAGGTCTGTGGGGGCTTGTTGAGATGATTGGAACAGAATTGAATAAAGAAGGGGTGAAGATGAAACAGAGAGAGATAGATATATAGAGAGAAAGAGATAGATATATTGGTAACTTTTAAAATAATGCTACATAGATGTGATAGTTAAAATGATTATTATTATTATTACCTTTAATATTAATAATTTTTAGATGAAATAGTTTGCATTTTATTAAAAAAAGTAATTTTAAAACACCTATTTTTATATTATTAATCAATTTGTTGTCGTATTTTAACATTTATTTTAAATGAAGGGAATTTTTTGGCAATTTTTTTTCAAGCTATTATGTTTATTGCTACGTGTTTATTATTGATAAAAAAAAATAATTGTGAAAATAAAATGTTTTAAAGTCAATAATACCTATCTATACTTACAAAAATATTTTTAGAAAGTAAAACGACTAACCTTGTAAGGAAAATCATATTTAATAGATACATATTATAAAAGATACGATAAAGATAAGGTCTACGTATTAAGTTAAAGTAAATTATATATGTATCTATATTTTAAAGATAGTTAGGTTTATAATAAATAAACATTAAATCTATTAAAAATCAAGTTAAAATTAGATTTCAATACATGTTTTTAGGTATAAGTAATTAACGAATAGGTACACAAAATATTTATGTCATAAAAACAAATATTACGTGAATTTTAAATATAACAAAAATAAATTTATATAACTTATTCTATATATATTATACGTAGGTATATGAACAATAATGTTATTGTTACCAAAGGTCCGGTTAGTGCGGTGTGTTTTAACTGTGAGTTTAACTGGAGTTTAACGCGTGACCGACACATACAACGACGGACTATTAAGAGCAATTGACGAGTTACGACCCTCGACAGAACAAACATACACACATACATAGATACACGATACAAGATACAAGAAAGAAATTAATGAAGACTTTTAGTTAGTTTAATAAATAGTCGGTATTGTTTGTGTAATTAAATTAGTTTCATATTAAATTATATAAAAGGAGCTTGTAGGTATATAATGTATGGTGTTTTTTGTATATAGGTGTACTATATAGACGTATTTATTATATATAAATAGATTATTTAATATAATTATTTAAAAAAATAATGCTTACAAAAATTATAGGTATACCTAATTATTCATATCTATATAAAGAAAGAATAATAATATTATTTTAGAACATATATATTTTTATATACGTACATATGTTTATTATTTAATATTTTTAAATGCATTAAAAAAAGTGTTATTGTCTATGTGAAACTATGAAGTCATTGCAAGCGGAAAAACGAACATGAATTATAGTTTGGGTGTAATAAAAAGTAAGTAGGTAAAAATACTTATATGTTATTAGGGTTATACTAATATAGGATACATATTTATTATTTATCGGCAGACCCTGGCTAAAGCTGGGACGTTGCCAGAAATGTATATTTATTATATATACTCACAGGATAACCATCTCCGTATAATGTTTATATGATACACTGTACAGTACAGTCAATACAACAAGTTCACGACACTTCACTTATAACAATAACATCACAGGCGACGTGCACGCGCCGCGGACGATCATAGCTCACTGACTTCACGGGAACAAACACGGGGATGATTCCAGCCAACCCGGTGGAGGGGTGAACGGGAACAACCAATCGCGGCTCACGATTAACACGGACACGCCCACTGCCAGCGATCTACCAATCAGATCGCGGATATGAACAACCAATAGCGACATTTGGAATAAATAATTCGAATTTTCATGAAAAATTCTCGCGAACAATTCCAGATACAACACATGCATGCATAGAATATTGATTTATACTTTATATGGAATTGTTTTGTTTAAAATACTTACATTATATAGGTATAACTGTATATATTATATATATGTTATTTAGAACCTTACTATATCTATACTTTTATATATTTTTCAGTATAATATATGTAATTAGTTAATTATATGTAACACTAATTTAACTGATAGGTGTGTGTGTGAATATTAAAACCCTTTACATGCGGGCGTCGTCGCCGCCACCTAGCATCATTTACATACAACACTATACGTACCTATATATAGATACAACTTTAATGAAAGTCGGTTAAAATTGTTTAATACATTATTTTAAATAGTTTAATTAGGTATAAATTATGTACCTATAATCTTTTATACCTAGGTAGGTACTCTATACAGACGCGAACTTGAGATACACGAATTACATAGGTAGGGGAGAGTCGGATATATCGTACCACTTTTCACTTTAACTCAAATATTTCGACTATAACACGTCTTATAATAATTAATACATATGTGAAATAAAGTTTCATATTTTAGCTTCCTAAGAAGAAGAGAACAGATCCTTGCGATTATTCTAACATTGTTAAAAATGCTTTTTTATAGAGGCTTGCCATCGGTACGATTTAGCCGACTCGTCGTTTTAATCGTACCACTAAGTCTTTAAATCGTACCATGGGTGTGTAAGTCGTACCACTGAATGAAAGATATTAAAATTCTCAATCAAATTATTTATTTTTGACTGTTAGGTAAATAATAAAACAACATTATTTATATCTTTTAGGTAATAGAAACATAATTTTTAACTCTTAGGTTATATAAAGAAACTATAAGCTTTCTCAGTAAAATAACATGATTATACTATGATAATGAAGTCAATCAACATAACTAATAAAAATGAGACAAATAAAAAAACAGTAAACTCTAATAATAAAGTCACAGTTAACAAGAATGTTATTTGTAATATAATTATTGTGCATATTTCTTAATGGAAACAATCATGACAAATGTCTAGATTCGTAGTACATGGCTCATGTTGCCACCGTTTACAGCGAACGCATTGAATCCAATCAACTTTTGGACCCTTCTTATCGTAGTAAGAACAATTGCACTTTCGACATATATTTTCAAGATAATCATCGCTGTCATCATCATCATCTAGTTCTACAACAAGTGTCTCTCCTGAATCATCGCTACTGGTGATGGAATGAGATCGTTTCCTCTTATAACTTTTGTTTTTGGCCTTGGGTAGTACTTACTATACGTACTTGCGGTAGTACTATAGGTACTTGCGGTTGGTAGTCGGGTAAATCGTACCAGTACAATTTAACCAACTGCAAGCGGTACGATTAAATCAACTAAGGCATTTCTAAAACAAAAGCAAATATCCGGCATAAACTCAAAACTTAGACACGCAACAAAAACCCCCAATAATCTAATATACAATTGTGGAATAATAAAAAAAACTGAATAAGTATAGCTTACCTTGATTACTAGTTATCTCCTTACGAATGTACGACAATATTTATATTAATTCCTACAAAAAATGTTTTTTTTTATTACGTGCACAGTTGTTAACTCACGTCGATTTAAACTAGTGAGTGAAGAGGGATGGTCTATGGCCACGATTTGGCGTTGTCAATGTAAAAAAAAATATTCATTAAATGGGAAATTTAGAAGTGGTACGATTTAAATGCTAGTACGATATAACCAACTCTCCCCTATATGTTTTTATATATAGGTAAGTGTAGGTATATTCCCAAAAGAGAGTTGATGTCAGGCAGACGGCCAGCCGTAAAGATAATTAGCCAAAACTATTCACAACATGTACGGCAGACCCTGGCTAAAGCTGGGAATTACCAGGTAGAAGAAGAAGATATAAGTGTAGATTTGTTATATTTTTTTAGGTACCTAATTTCGAAAAAAAAGTTACAAATAATAAGTAGAGTATCTAATATGTAGGTATTATATTATCGTGTAGGTATGTAGGTAGGTAACTTTATAACTGAAAGTAATATTTTTTAATAATTTATATACCTACATATGTTTACGTATGTAAATTTATTTGTAGCTAGGTACTTATATTAATTGTTTCCTCACCAAAGCTTATTTGTTATCATCGACCACTTCATTTCAGGTACAGTAGTAAGCTGTTCATATAATCTCCATCAACACAATCCCCAGTACAATAGTATTTAAATCCCGTTACTAAATCCGATAATCTTTTTAACTTTATAACTGTCGGTTACATTTAACTACTAAATTTAAAGTTACTCTCGAAATTGCTGACAAATTTAAATTAGTAGATAGCTCTAGGTTTTTAACATTTTTATGTTAATAATAATAAATTGTATGATTTTAGTTTAGACTTTATGCTTACACAGACATACATACCTACATAGGGGAAAAGAGGGCAAGATGGTTCACTTATCTTAAATAATGAATTTTATAAAAAAAACTAATAGAATACCTACTAA